GCCACCTTCGAATTGCACCTTGCCATGAGCAAACGTCCAAGACACTATGACATTATCCCCGATGTAGTAATCTGGACAGTGGGTCTGCCTTTATGCTGGTCAGTTGTTACTGCAGACATAGCCACAGGTGTAACATGGCATAGCCCAGATGCACTAGTGCCAAATAGTGGCCAGTCGAAACGTTTATGCTGTCCATTTGTCAGCCTGACCCGCTGCATTCCTTACTCAGCCCGTCTTATATTTTATCTTGTATGCTGGAACATCTGCAGGACCACTACATCTCCCATATTGTGCGAACATTGAGGATGGATATCAGATATGGTTATGCCAACATTGTCTTCACCAACGAACCTCCTGCTGCTCTCTTATCACATCTCTGTGAAGCAATAGCTATGGAGGGTAACCAAGCGGCGAAGATAACTGTCTGGAATGTTGGCAATGTGGACAAGTTAAAGGAGGAGCTGGAAGAGCATGGCGTTCCGGAGGGCCGTATCCTTTTTTAAAGTGCACATTCATTGAAATCTGTGTGTGTGTATGTGCATGTATATATATATATATGTGTGTGTGTGTGTGTGTGTGTGTGTGTGTGTGTGTGTGTGTGTGTGTGTGTGTGCGTGCCTGCGGAGCGTGCTGCGTACCGTCTTCAACGACCTACCCCATGTCTGTCGGCCCCTCGTATGAGGGGACATGTGACCGTTTTACTGCAATGTTTAGGACAGGACAGGACAGGTGTGTGTATATGCATATGACTGTGTGTGTCTGCATGTGTCCTATGACGATACTATGACGATACTATGCAATATATATGTATAGTAATAATTGTTCCTTTCGTCAGTAAATTTCTTGACTGTCGGCGGGTCTTGCACTGCTACTGACGACACAACCACAGGAGTGCGACTTCATGCAGAGTCATTCGTGACGGCGGCCGACATTCGAGATGATCTTCTCATCGATACGGAGGTATGAGAATAGTGTCATCACAGTGTAGTGATGAAACGTGTTGCACAGATCCACAGTGTAGAGTGACATGATCACATTATCAGTGACTGAATGCTGCTGGTATGTAACACAGTCGGTGATTAGCAAAAGTTGACTCGCGAAATGTTGCTGTGTGTGTGTGTGTTTGTGTGTGTGTGTGTATGTGTGTGTGTGTGTGTGTGTGTGTGTGTGTGTGTGTGTGTGTGTGTGTGTGTGTAGTGTGTGTGTGTGTGTGTGTGTGTGTGTGTGTGTGTGTGTGTGTGTGTGTGTGTGTGTGTGTGTGTGTGTGTGGGTGTGTGTGTCAGCTAGTTCGGTTGGTGGGTACGCTTATGCCTGATTGTGTTGGGTGTGTTGCCAACAGGCTCGGCTGTATAATGGTGTATTGTTGTACTAGTGTAACCTTGGCCTGAGGTTACAATTACATTCACAGGAGCATAAACTCCCCAGCCCCCAGCCAGGCACCAGTTCCAACCATGACAAGACGTTGAGATCAAAACTGCAACTCTCAAGTCCAAAACATTCTCTCCAAGCAAAAGGAAAAACCAGCATCATAACAGAGCGAGCCAGCGAAAAGATACGCATGCGTGTGTGCCTGTGAGTGTGTACAAATGACGTATGCATACATGTCATGAAGTAGAGTCACATTCATAGCTACAATCAAGAGTGGAAATATTACTACGCCAAACGGAACATGTGCAACATGTTACACCTCCCCCCTCGTTACAGAGGGAACGATAGTGACCGAAAGTTACAAAGCTTAGAGCATATCCGTGATAGCTTTCTACATGAGAAAATTAAATACTGGAAAGTGAAATAGTGTGGCGCAAGTATGGTACAAGTGTAGTTAATCGGTGTGAGGTATAATGGAAAGTTTAGAAACTACTAATGCTATGTAAGTGGACTGTGAAACAGCAAGTGAAATGCTCGACATTATTCATACTAACCTAACAACAGGTAGGACTGTGTGAAATATGTGTATTTCTGAACTAAGAATGTACAATTTCTCAATAATCACACTGTACAGTCATAGACACTCACTGAGCAAACCTTGCTGGCGGCTGAATGTTTGCACGGTTCCGCAGATCATAGTGGTGCACAACAGGCACAGGTGCATGATTCAGTGCTGCGGCTGGTGGCGGCACCGGCGCAGCAGCAATTACTGGTGCAGGTGGCGCCTGCACTGGAGCCGGGATTGGTACTGGTTGCATATTATACTCAACATCAGGCATGTAGTCGGCAATAGAAGTCGGAGGCGAGTTCGGTACGAGCTCATTGGCACTTGCAGGCAGATCAGAGCCAGTCCAAGCCTTCAGACGGTCAACGTGAACAGTCTGGGTCGTGCCGGATTTGTCAGCTATCCGAAGTACTACATCGTCAACACGTTCTAGCACAGTGTACGGGCCTTTCCAAGGTCGATGGAACTTGGAAGTCGTACCTGGTTTGACGGCAGGAGAATGCAACCGAACCATGTCACCAACGTTGAGTTTCGGTTGTTTAGCGTGCTTGTCATAGTGGGCCTTCTGCCGTCGTTGAGCTGTTGCTCCAGCATCACGGGCATGCGTGAACGCTCGTTGTAGATTGCGCCGTAAGTTGATAACATACGTGTTCACATGGGAGCGCTCAGAGTCTGGTGACTGAAACATCACATCAACAGGCAGGTGTATTTCATGACCTAACATGAGCATCGCTGGCGTCTCCTTGGTCGAGGAGTGCACACTAGACCGATAGGCCAGCAGACAACGTTGCAGATGACGGTCCCAATTGGTGTGGTGGTCGTCGACGTGAGCAGCCAGCATTTGCTCAAGTGTGCGATTCATCCTCTCGACTAAGCCGTCACTCTGGGGCCGGTATGCTGTTGTACGTGACTTTCTGATATCCAACAACTGACAGATCTGCTGGAATAACCTCGACTCAAATTGCGCACCACGGTCAGAGTGCAGCTGGTATGGAATACCATAACGACAGAAGAAGCCGTCAACAAGGACATGTGCTACTGTTTCAGCAGTAATATTCGGTACAGGAAACGCTTCTGGCCACTTAGTGAAATAGTCACAAATGACGACTAAATACTTGTTACCGCTAGGCGTAGTAGGCAGTGGGCCCATAATATCAATAGCAACTTTCTCTAGCGGGAATGATGGGCGGTCTTGGACAAGCGGGGCTTTGGCCTTTGGTAGCGGTGCTTTGCGGCTCTCACAAATATCACATGCTTGGCAAAATTCACTAACTGCAGACGACATGAAGGGCCAATAACACCGCTTGCGAAGCTTGTCTTGTGTTCGCTCAATACCTAAGTGGCTTCCAGAGACATCAGCATGCACAGACTGAAGCATGCGGGATTGCAGAGACTGTGGTACAACAAATTGTAGGTACGGTGTGTCGCTATTCTCGGGGTGGTAAACCCGGTACAACACTCCATCAACCAGTCTTAGACGCTTCCACTGGCTCCATAATCGTATCAATGCAATAGACGCACCGTGCATGGCAGAATCACTACGCAGGGGCCTGTCAAGTAATGCCTCCTGCCAGCCGATCATTGTACTCACATCTGCATCTTCTAATTGAGCTCTGCGCAACTCTTCAACAGTGAAAGACTCACACCAATTGGGTGGCGACACTTCAGCATTGACTGTTACAGGATTACTATCAGGACTAGCGCTAGACAGGTGATTGACAACAATATTCTGCTCACCTACTCTCTGCTCGGGCGTTGGCGTCGGTGAGGTTGCGGTAGCCGGGCTGTGGTAGCGGAGTCTTGACAAGGCGTCTGCATTGACATGCTGCTTCCCGGGCCGATGTGTGACGACGTAGTCGAAGACGGCCAAACGCTCAATCCACCGGGCTAGAAGACCGTCCACTTCCCGGAACGAATGTAGCCAGATGAGCGCTTTGTGATCAGTTCGCAATGTGAACTGATTTCCAAGTAGGTAATGGCGGAAATGTGCAGTAAATGTGACAACAGCAAGCAGCTCCTTGCGTGTACTGCCCATGTTACGTTGGGATCTCGTTAATGCTTTGCTGGCATAGGCAATCACTACTTCCTCACCGTGACTATTGACTTGCGAGAGAACAGCTCCCATGGCGAGATCTGACGCATCAGTGTCCAGGATGAAGCGCTTTGCAGGATCAGGATATGTTAGAACAGGTGACTTGACTAGTCGGGACTTCAGTTCAGCAAATGCCTGTTCACACTCATGTGTCCAGTTGAAAGTGGCATTCTTCTGGGACAAACGGTTCAGGGGCTCTACAATTTCTGAGAAATGTGGCACAAAGCGGCGATAGTACGATGCGAAACCAACAAAGCTACGCACCTCTTTCAGTGATGTTGGGGATGACCAGTCTTGAACAGCCGTGAACTTGCTTGCATCCGGTGCCACACCTTGCTCTGAGAATAAGAATCCCAGGTACGTGACTGAGGACTGAAGCAGTGAGCACTTCTTGGGCTTGATCTTGAGGCCAGCTTGACGAAGACGACTGAATATTGTTTGCAGACGACTCATGTGTTCCTCAATCGTTGATGAGAACACGATAATGTCGTCCAAGTAGACCAGACAGATATTGGGTACTAGGTCACCAAGGACCCGGTTCATGAGGCGTTGAAAAGTTGCCGGTGCGTTACACAGGCCGAACGGCATACGGTTCCACTCGAATAATCCGAACGGTGTCACAAACGCCGACTTAGCTTTGGCAGCTTCATCTATCTCCACCTGCCAATAGCCAGCTGCGAGATCTAAGGTAGAGAAGTAGCGTGCACCCGCCATAGCGTCGATAGCATCGTCCACACGAGGAAGGGGAAAGGCATCCTTCTCGGTGATACTGTTCAACTGCCGGTAGTCGATGCATAGCCGGATAGAAGAGTCAGGCTTGCGTACGACAACTATCGGAGCAGCCCAAGGGCTTCTGGATGGAGATATAATCTCATGATCAAGCAGTTGATCAACGTGCTGCTTTACCTCGACTCGTTGACTGAGAGGAATTCGGCGGGGTGGCTGTCTCTTAGGCTGATCAGATGTAGTCTGGATGTTGTGTGTTACTACATCAGTCTTCCCAAGGTCGAATTGTCCCTGCGAGATGACATCGGCATTGTCGTTGAGCACAGTAGCTATAGCAGACTGCGCTTGCGGATCGAGGTGACGTAAGTCAAATAGATCGTCTGGCTCGGAAGGTGAGCAGCTCTCTTCCTGTACTGCGCTACAGCTATGCTCGTCAACAGAGGCAGCATGCGTAGGCGAATCATTGAGATCATCGTCAATGTAAATATCAGAATCAAATTCAGCAATTTGATAATTCTTCGGGACAGTTGTGGAATGAGGAAGAAAATTTTGTAGGCGAATCCAAACACGGCCAGCAGAGTCAGGAGTAGCCACCACACGTGACATAGCAGTGCTAAACTTGGAAATAAACTTCTCTGAGGGTGAAACAAAACCAGCAGAGCTAGGTAAATGATTATCATCGGTACGCAGCTGAGCTTGAACAATGACTTGTGTATACGCTGGTACAGTAACCGAATTAGCAAGATGAACACGGCAGACTACAGGATTAGCATTATGGGTGGGCTCTAGGGGTACATCGACACCGCCTGCATCGAGCATGTTGCGACCGAAATCAATTGTGCAGCCATGAGATTGCAAGAAGTCAATGCCGATTAGCACATCGGGCATAATGTCAGCAACAATGACTCTGTGGCGTACAGCAAGCTTGCCAGTTGCTAACAATACGACAGCTTCCCCGAGCACAGGGACAGAAGAATTATTTACCGCTTTAAGAACAGTATTAACGGGTGAGATAGATAAATGAACATTGTGATGAGAGAGAGACTTAGCAAAGCTGGTGCTCAACAACGTTACGCAACTGCCGGTGTCCACAAGCATGTTGGCTGGTACAGCCTCGACCGTGCCTTGGATCTGCACCGTGCTGTCGGACTGTGTTGCAAGACACGACAGAGGCAGGACAATCGAGCTGTCTGGACACTCGGCTGGAGTAGTTGTGCAGGCCTGACAAGTTGTCTCAGTAGGTAAGCAGACAGCCTCATGACACACCGAACACGGTTCACTCTGCTTACCGGTACATGGGTCCATTGGGGAGGTTGCTGACGGCGGACCCTGGCTGTCAGCGACGCTCAGTTTCCCCGACCGCGTCCACGACCCCGGTGACCACCACGGTTAGCCGGTGTGTATCTCTGGTGCGGACAGTCAGGTGCGAAATGCATTGTGCTGTCGCACACATAGCACCGCTTGGTGTCACCATCTCCACTCCGATGCAGATTAGTTGGCCTCTCCAGCGTGAGCCTGGAGATCTTGTCCTCCAGGGCTGCCATCCTCGACAGCAGGGCGTTGAGTGTAGGGTCACTGGGCTGAGATTGCACCGCACATATAACTGGGCTAGCTGCCTGCTGCTGCTGGTCTGCCTCCAGGATGCACTGAAAATGCATAGCCCGTCGGAGTGCATCATCCAATGTTGGTGGGTCCGTGCCACGAACATGCAGGCGCAGGTCCCTGCTGTCAAGGCCGGCTACAAAGGTGTCGCGCGCCAGGGTATCCTGCACTGCTCCAGCTACCGTGGGGTACGCCCGTCTACTGAGCCTGCGGACGACTTCCGCAAAATCCGACAGGGACTCGCCACGAATTTGCCGGCGTGACTGCAGCTCTGCTCTGAACGTGGGGATGAAGTTTGCGTCGCCGAATCGCTGTTCAAACGCCTGCAGCAGCTGGTCGAATGGGCCTGTCCTCGTATGGGCTTCCAAACTTTGGAAGTAAGACAGTGCGTGGCCGGTGAGGTACAACCCAATGTACCTGCTTTGGTCTGCCGGTGTCCAGTTGTTTGCATTCGCGACGAGGCGAAAATGGCCAATCCATGACGTCCAGTCGGCGTTGCGCTCGCCAGAGAATTTCTCTGGCGTGGCCCATACCCGCATCTGCTGTTGTGGACGTGCTGGTTGTTGCGCTGGGCCCGGTGGTGGTGGTGGAGGGGGCGGAGGAGCGCCACCTTGCTGAGCCATCTCTACACGATCAGTCTTCCACAAATAATTTTGGTACGCGTGCTCTCACAAGACGTGGAATTCGAATTCGCTGCCACCACGTGTAACCTTGGCCTGAGGTTACAATTACATTCACAGGAGCATAAACTCCCCAGCCCCCAGCCAGGCACCAGTTCCAACCATGACAAGACGTTGAGATCAAAACTGCAACTCTCAAGTCCAAAACATTCTCTCCAAGCAAAAGGAAAAACCAGCATCATAACAGAGCGAGCCAGCGAAAAGATACGCATGCGTGTGTGCCTGTGAGTGTGTACAAATGACGTATGCATACATGTCATGAAGTAGAGTCACATTCATAGCTACAATCAAGAGTGGAAATATTACTACGCCAAACGGAACATGTGCAACATGTTACACTAGTATCTGCCACCTTTGTTGGTTTCAGGGTTCATATACTTTCTATTTGAAGTATACATACCTGTTAACCATGGACTGATTCTGGCTAGATTCATTCTTGTGTAATCAATGGTGCTAGTGAAGCTTATATCAGATCCAATCTGATTTAGCCACCCACACTAGTAGCAAGTATTACCTTCACTGGGGCAGGGGTAACTGCAGTTGGATCCCGGGGCGGATACCCTGATGCCGTCAATCCTTTTTCTGCACTTTGTCCTCACCCAGTTACTGAGGTGCGGTGAGCCCATAAGTGGGATCATTTTTAAGTCCACCCAGAGTTTTGGGGATTTCAGGGGGCGTCGGCCGTTGGTCGGTTCAATAGCCAATTGAGCCATCTTTCCAAGATTCCTTTTGAGTCTCTCTCCCCTTTCCTGGGGAGACCCACGTGACCAGTTTTGGCAGTGAGCAACAAGTACAAGTACAAGTGTATGTGTGTGTGTGTGTGTGTGTGCGTGAGTGTGTGTGTGTGTGTGTGTGTGTGTGTGTGTGTGTGTGTGCATGTGCGTGAGTGTATGTGTGTGCATGCGTGTGTGCATGCATGCGTGCATGTGTGTGCATGGCTGCAGCTTGTGATTGTGAATCCTCCCTCGTCGAAAGAGTTGATCGCCAATGTTGTCAGAGTATCGGTGCGTGATCCAACACGTAAGTCCATGTCCCGTGTACCCAGCGCAGAGCCTGGGTGCGGGTGTCCCGTGTACCCAGCGCAGAGCCTGGGTGCGGGTGTCCCGTGTACCCAGCGCAGAGCCTGGGTGCGGGTGTCCCGTGTACCCAGCGCAGAGCCTGGGTGCGGGTGTCCCGTGTACCCAGCGCAGAGCCTGGGTGCGGGTGGTTGCTGGTTTACATTTCGTGTATACAGCGTACTCGTAGAGTCTGCAGTGTGGCCTATGTACATTGTACACGGCTTGTTTCCCTGGCAACAATTGAAGCAGGTCACTGACTTACTTCTCTGACCGGAGTACAATGTACTGTAGGAAGTAAAACACACGGGACATTGTAATACTGGCTGTTGGTCCCAGGCGGCTCAGTGCTAGGAGATAAATGCCTTTACACCTTTTTTAAGTTTTTTGAAAGTTTTTTGGAATGATTCCGCTCTAGAGACACACATGCAGAACATAATACTTATTATGATCACGGAGCAGGTAGTCTAGCAAGCACTGGTGCTACCATGCAAGGACAGGTATACTTCATTTTGATAGACACACATGCAGAACATAATACTTATTATGATCACGGAGCAGGTAGTCTAGCAAGCACTGGTGCTACCATGCAAGGACAGGTATACTTCATTTTGATATGGTACTATGTAGTATCCGAGATACCCAGGATATCTACGGGCTGAGATATCCAAGATACATGTATCCAGAGAGTATTACGCTCCCTCCCGGTTGAGCTTTCTTAAAAATTGTAGTACCAGAGTTATGTGAACTTGTGCAAGGCTCGCTTCTCGCTGCTAGAGTACTTTGACGTTGACCCTTTGAGCCGATTCAAAATACTCTGTTGTTCCATTCGACCTTATCGTAATTTGCTTCGTTCGGTCACCAGGCTCCGAGCTCCGCTGATTACATCTAGCAAGGCCAAAACAGCTAGCTGCTCGGAGAACGAGTATTTTGGTCATTTTGGATACCATATTTGTATGACGATTGGTAAGAAAGGGGATTGCAAGACGTCTTGCGAAGCCAAGAATGTTTGTTGACTTCATCCATAATGACAGTTCATAGCCTGTCATGTTTCCTGTCAAGCAATGGCCAGTTGCCCTTTTCCATTTCATCAATAACCTTAAATCAAAGTTCTATCACAGGAATCCAGTGGTAGCAGGCAAGACAGAGTTCAGATTGGCTGTTGTCTTCGTCAGTGCATTCTTTGTTCCTTTGATATTGTGATGCACAGATTCCACATTCCTGGAAACGATTGGGAATTTGCGACAGAACTTCAAGTACAGAGGCAAGACTTACAACTACTTTGACATCCAGTCCAACACACTGCGAGCAGCCCTTGAATGTAAGTTGTATATACGCACAACCCGGCTACGGTCTGCCATGCCTGTAGCCAGCAGCAGCAGCAGCAGCACAGGGTAATGAAGTTTGTACTGACAACATTACTGCTCTTAGAATTTAGAAAGAAAAGAAGTATGATCACTTCGACTCGGCCAGAAAATGATTAAAAAAACATTTTCTTGCTCAGCCTGATGGTATCTCTGTGTTGTCCGTGTGGTGTTCCTGTGGTGTCTTCGTGGTGTGTGTGTGTGTGTGTGTGTGTGTGTGTGTGTGTGTGTGTGTGTGTGTGTGTGTGTGTGTGTGTGTGTGTGTGTGTGTGTGTGTGTGCGGTGTTCCTGCGGTGTCTCCGTGGTGTGTGTGTGTGTGTGTGTGTGTGTGTGTGTGTGTGTGTGTGTGTGTGTGTGTGTGTGTGTGTGTGTGTGTGTGTGTGTGTGTGTGTGTGTGTGTGTGTGTGTGTGTGTGTGTGGTGTTCCTGTTTGTTTCACTGTTGTAGTGCCCAAGGTGAAGTCTATCCTGTACGTAACACACTCTAGTGCTATGAGTGAGAATCACTGTCTGATCGAGACGGTGCTGGAGGAGCTGCATGGAAGCAAACGCGCATTCAAGCGCTCGGCCCGGGCATGGAAAACCGAGCATGCTCAAGACCTACTGAGAAAACGAATTCCCACACCCGAGAAGAATCTTAAGAGGAGTGAGATTGATGATATTGATGACATGGATGTCCTTAGTGGCAAACAGTCTCAGTTGTCCAAGAGCACCGCTGAAAATCAACAGAGCATGGCCGATACAGAACATGGCGGTACACCGCATGCCACGGGAGGACACGGTGCTGATGCCACAGGAGAACATGTCATGGCTGCTACATGCCAGCAAGATGCAACTGGGCAGCAGAAGGATAAGGAGAAGGACACGCTTGAAGGAGAAAAGGCACCGGATACGCAAGAGGTCACCACAGCTGTTGTTGTTGAGCCAGAAACTGAGAAAGGAGCACTACGCACTGCTACCCAGCCGCAAGCAACACGGAGAACATCCCTGAGTGGAGGAGGAAGACGAAAGACGGTTTCGTTTAGCGGAGTTGAAAAGCAACAACTAACCTCTCAAAATAGAGGTGCAAGAGCAAGAACTGTCTCGTTGAGTTCAGTGCCCAAACCTAAATTGCAGCAGAAGCCGTTGAGCAAGCCAACGCAGAAACCACTGCAGAAGCAAGCACAGAAGACGCTGGTGACTCAGAAACCAGCGAAAGGTGCAACACAACAAGGAAACCAAACAAAACCGGCCAAGAAAGTAGCTAGGCCAGTTCGAACAAAGAGTATTTCATCTGAGCAACCAGCAGCCAAGACGGTGAAAAAGAAAGTGAAGAAGAAGACAACGCCGACTCTGGAAGAGAAGTTTGCTTACTATGATGACTATGACAATGGTGGCGAGGCTGAGGGCACCTTTGAAATGCAGACCATTGTTGATCCGTACAGATTGGAAGAGTTCTGCCAGAATGATGGTATGGTGACATCATGCATGATATAGAGCAGTTACCATAGTTATATGTCTCGAGAAGAGCAGTTGCCATAGTTACATGTCTAGAGAGGGACACCAAGACTGTGCACTTGTCTAACCAAAACAAACATGGCTTTATTCCCCTGCGTTTGCACGGCATTTGCATATCTATGAGTGACAAGAGTAGATAATCATTGCTACCCAGCTAGCTGCCCGGGGATTGAGTACATGTAGCGTAGCGGTTACCATGGTTACTCTCTCTCTCTCAGAGTACATACATGTAAGAGCAGTGATGTGGTGGCTCTAGTTTCCTCTGTGTTTCTTGCAATGTGTTGTGATAGCAGTGTCCTTGTTCGATTGCTGCCTCACACCACTGATACAGGTGAATCTCGAATGCAAGTCATGCAACCGACGGTATGGGCTGATGGCTGGGCACTAGGCCATCTGAAACGTGTGGTAAGTTCTGTGTCGATGAGCGTGTTGAGCGGTGTGCCGATAGAGAGTGGTGTGCCAGTGAGTGTGGTAACTAGTGGTAAGCCAGGTGATGGGTTAGGATTTGACATTATCGATTTCCATTATCTTCCGAACAGATGCGGTAGCGTTTCCTTTGAGCTTTGAAGTATTACAAGGTGCAAAACCAGTGACACCTTACAAAACCATTGCTATTCCAGTATAGAATTGCAGGCATATGCTTAGTAGTGTAAAAGATATAATTCAATAGCTGGCCAGGGAATGCCATGATTCTGAATCAAACAGGCTGTGGAGTAAAGTATCACCATTTGAGTGTAACATGTATTTGTCACTTAAGATGCCACATTGCTTACTACAGTACATGTGAGAAGTAGAGTCATGCATAGTGCCATGCTACCAGGCAGTACAGGTGAGAAGTAGAGTCATGCAAGTGCCATGCTACCAGGCAGTACATGTGAGAAGTAGAGTCATGCATAGTGCCATGCTACCAGGCAGTACATGTGAGAAGTAGAGTCATGCATAGTGCCATGCTACCAGGCAGTACAGGTGAGAAGTAGAGTCATGCATAGTGCCATGCTACCAGGCAGTACAGGTGAGAAGTAGAGTCATGCATAGTGCCATGCTACCAGGCAGTACATGTGAGAAGTAGAGTCATGCATAGTGCCATGCTACCAGGCAGTACAGGTGAGAAGTAGAGTCATGCAAGTGCCATGCTACCAGGCAGTACATGTGAGGAGTAGAGTCATGCATAGTGCCATGCTACCAGGCAGTACATGTGAGAAGTAGAGTCATGCATAGTGCCATGCTACCAGGCAGTACAGGTGAGAAGTAGAGTCATGCATAGTGCCATGCTACCAGGCAGTACATGTGAGAAGTAGAGTCATGCATAGTGCCATGCTACCAGGCAGTACAGGTGAGAAGTAGAGTCATGCATAGTGCCATGCTACCAGGCAGTACATGTGAGAAGTAGAGTCATGCATAGTGCCATGCTACCAGGCAGTACAGGTAGGGATCTCAGCGCGTGAACTGCGCAGACTGGCAGGTGAGATTTTCGATCCCAAACGCGTCCAGTGCAGAAATCGTGGAAAAGAACATTTTTTTCGAAATAAATCAAGTTGGAGAAGACAGTAGAAATGGCTGAATATTGCGTCCAGGATAGCACGTTCTACGGCCATCTCCAAGCTACTTATCTCCCAGACACTCTCTCAGAGGAACTATGGAGGGTCAAAGAGCACAATCTTTCACTCTTGGACGCAGCGTGAACACCTCTTCTACTGAGCGCGAAGTCTTCTCTCCGAGTGATAATGGCGGCGCTGTTCGCGATGGCTGATGCACTGAAAATCGAAGTTAGGACAATCTAACCGGAGAAAACGTCTGAATTTTTGACTGAATCCTCTCTGAAGTGGGTTCTTGCCGCATGGAAAATTATAGGAAAATCGACCGGGGCAATATCGCCTTGGCCACGCTGTCCTTCGGCGGGAATTACAAAGTATGTTCGAACGACGATGAAGATGACGATTCCGCTAGTGTCCACCGCGTCCCCTAGTGTCGAAAATCGACCGTCGCCATTTTTCTGCTTTGTCCGCGAGCTGCACTCAAAACTCGATGACGCAATGTATGCGCAAACACCCTGCGCACTGCACGCGCTGAGATCCCTAGTACAGGTGAGAAGTAGAGTCATGCATAGTGCCATGCTACCAGGCAGTACAGGTGAGAAGTAGAGTCATGCATAGTGCCATGCTACCAGGCAGTACAGGTGAGAAGTAGAGTCATGCATAGTGCCATGCTACCAGGCAGTACAGGTGAGAAGTAGAGTCATGCATAGTGCCATGCTACCAGGCAGTACAGGTGAGAAGTAGAGTCATGCCTAGTGCCATGCTACCAGGCAGTACATGTGAGAAGTAGAGTCATGCATAGTGCCATGCTACCAGGCAGTACAGGTGAGAAGTAGAGTCATGCATAGTGCCATGCTACCAGGCAGTACAGGTGAGAAGTAGAGTCATGCATAGTGCCATGCTACCAGGCAGTACATGTGAGAAGTAGAGTCATGCATAGTGCCATGCTACCAGGCAGTACAGGTGAGAAGTAGAGTCATGCATAGTGCCATGCTACCAGGCAGTACAGGTGAGAAGTAGAGTCATGCATAGTGCCATGCTACCAGGCAGTACAGGTGAGAAGTAGAGTCATGCATAGTGCCATGCTACCAGGCAGTACAGGTGAGAAGTAGAGTCATGCATAGTGCCATGCTACCAGGCAGTACATGTGAGAAGTAGAGTCATGCATAGTGCCATGCTACCAGGCAGTACAGGTGAGAAGTAGAGTCATGCATAGTGCCATGCTACCAGGCAGTACAGGTGAGAAGTAGAGTCATGCATAGTGCCATGCTACCAGGCAGTACAGGTGAGAAGTAGAGTCATGCATAGTGCCATGCTACCAGGCAGTACAGGTGAGAAGTAGAGTCATGCATAGTGCCATGCTACCAGGCAGTCACGCGCAGTGACCGCTAGACTAATGGTTTGGTTTGTGTAGCGTTAGCACACGCAGTCGTCACATGTGTGATGTGCTGCCGTGTTCTATCTGCACAGCCACCACCCAAGGAAAAGCCAAGTGCTATTCTGGAGCGCTACCAGACCATGGGCATTCTTAATTTGGATGAGGAGCCCGCACCCAAACCGGCAACACCGCCCCGCAAGGCTGCACCCCTGCCCAAGGTATCCATTGAAGGTAAAGCTGCACTACGCCGTGCCATGGCACATCATGCCCGCCACACCACTAACACAGGAGGACAGAAGAGCAAGGGCTATGCTGACATGCAAGACGTCCCTCAAGCTGAAGTGCAAAGCCATCACAAAATGTCAACAGTACATGGGCCAATGGAACTTGCCGGTAATGGCAGTACTACTGTCTACGGTCGCGAGAAGGCGCGTAATCCCCAACCCACTGTTAGCAATGTACAACGTCGGAGACACCAGCGTAACCAAGCAGCAGCACCTCCACCACCAGTACCACCAGCACAACCCGAACCAGTAGTTGGATCGTTGATGCGACCAGGAGTGTGGATACCAGAGCTAGCACTGGGAATATCTCCTAAGCAGATGCGGTCTAGTTTCGATGTGCTTGGTATGTCCAGTGGCAGCAGCAACAGCACTACATTGGGAAGTGATCTGCTCCACAGTAATGTATTGACACACCATTCCCCAAGACAGACTGAAAGACTGCACGAACACACTAGCAACAGGATATCATCAAGAAATAGACCACCAGACCATTTGCCACTAAACACGGACAATGTGCAGGATGGTGCCGACTCACTTATTCAAATGGATATCAACCAGGCGCGTGGTGAGCTTCCCATTATTGCCGCTCTCAGATTGAACAGCTCCCATCCACCCAATAGTCCCGGTAGTCCAAGGCAACAGCAGCGTATGTTTCAACATCCAGCTGCTGCTGGGAAACTGAACAGTAACCTGCTTAGTCCAGGTGGACAGCAGGGCATGCTGTATCATGAAATACCCCCGACTGCACAGCAACCGTCACATCTACCACCCATTGGTCTGGCTTCCAACCTCTCCTCCTCACACTCTGCTGCTGCTGCTGTTGCATCACCACGAGACAGCCTGGAGAAGAGTTTACTCAGCCCGAGGGTGAAGGGAACACCGCCGTCAACACCCACCTTCCTACCGCCCATCACTCATAGTCCACTGGCCAGAAGGAAAGGCGTCATACAAAACTCTCCTCGATCAGCTACATTGTAAAAACTCTCCTCGATCAGCTACATTGTGATGGCACCAGCAACAGTAACAGACTGGGTTCTGGGTTGCAGTGCACTACTGCAACTGATTGAAATGAACAAGACCCGAGCACTGACCCAAGCACTGACCCGAGCACTGACCCGAGCACTGACCCGAGCACTGACCCAAGCACTGACGTAAGCACTAAAAGTAAGCAGTTCAAGTCATTTGAAATACCTCTTTAGATTTTTATGTACACAGCCATAGTTCATCTTTGAGCTTCACATGATTGTGGAGTTTGCGTGTCTCGAATAATGCACACTCCCAGATCGAGGCGGCGGAAGTGAAATGCAAGTATTGGAAGTCATTCACAGTGTATTTACTACTAGTAGTGTAACTATATGATACGCTACACTTCATGCTCACAAGGAATGATACGGTAACATGATGTGGCTGTGCATGCACCGAGTTCTCACTGTGACTGGGGTTGCTGCATGTTACTGCTCGCCATGCAATGCATCTATCCACCATGCAATCTATTCTATCCACTGTGCAATGTATTCATTATACACCATGCATGTACGTCTGATGAGTGTTTTGAACACGAAGCTCGGAGTAATGGGAAAGTTTTGGTCTCTGTTGTTCTGCCTTGTGTAGTACGCTCTGCCCTTGTTAGGGTATTGAGCACTATTTGCAGCAAGGACTCACACTTTGTCTATACATCATGCAATGACTATGTATCTTTACACCTGCATCTGAAAAAGCTCGATCATGCTGTACTTCACCATGTCTGTTTGACACTGTGCACATTGCATACTATGACCATTCTGTCCTCGCTGTCCATTCCCGGTAGTCCAGTATCTGGTGTGTGTGTGTGTGTGTGTGTGTGTGTGTGTGTGTGTGTGTGTGTGTGTGTGTGTGTGTGTGTGTGTGTGTGTGTGTGTGTGTGTGTGTGTGTGTGTGTGTGTGTGTGTGTGTGTGTGTGTGTGTGTGTGTGTGTGTGTGTGTGTGTGTGTGTGTGTGTGTGTGTGTGTGTGTGTGTGTGTGTGTGTGTGTGTGTGTGTGTGTGTGTGTGTGTGTGTGTGTGTGTGTGTGTGTGTGTGTGTGTGTGTGTGTGTGTGTGTGTGTGTGTGTGTGTGTGTGTGTGTGTGTGTGTGTGTGTGTGTGTGTGTGTGTGTGTGTGTGTGTGTGTGTGTGTGTGTGTGTGTGTGTGTGTGTGTGTGTGTGTGTGTGTGTGTGTGTGTGTGTGTGTGTGTGTGTGTGTGTGTGTGTGTGTGTGTGTGTGTGTGTGTGTGTGTGTGTGTGTGTGTGTGTGTGTGTGTGTGTGTGTGTGTGTGTGTGTGTGTGTGTGTGTGTGTGTGTGTGTGTGTGTGTGTGTGTGTGTGTGTGTGTGTGTGTGTGTGTGTGTGTGTGTGTGTGTGTGTGTGTGTGTGTGTGTGTGTGTGTGTGTGTGTGTGTGTGTGTGTGTGTGTGTGTGTGTGTGTGTGTGTGTGTGTGTGTGTGTGTGTGTGTGTGTGTGTGTGTGTGCATGGAGTGCATGGCGAGCCACAAAGTTACAAAATAGGCATCCTGCTCCGACGCGGCAGATCACAATCGGAATACAGACTCTGGTCTAGCTTACATGCGTGGACGAAAAAAGAGTTTGCAAAGTTCTATATTGCAATAAGGAGGATGAGCTGAAGTGATATAGGATTACTATATTAAACAATGCCAAGCGATGGAGAAAACGCGAAAACAACTAAAAAAGACTAAAAAACTAGTTGGAATCATCTTTTTTCCATCGCTTTTTCTTCTTACATGTATTTATCCTTTCCATTTTACATTGTTTTCGCATCGTCTCCATCGCTTGGCATTGTAATCCAATGTCACTTCAGCTCATTCTCCTTATTGTGATATTGAAATTGTTGTCTCCTCGCCGAATACTGTAAAGCCATATGTAACGAAGTGCTAACTCTAACGAGTTAACGAGGAGAAATCTGTCGTTAAAATAGAAATCGTTATACAGAAATCGATACATATACTGTCCTATTGAGCGTTGAGAATAAGTGAGAATCGTTACCTTTGGTACACGTAAACCAGTCGATTTTGGGAAATCGTTATAATTATATGCGCCTGGTTAGAATAATGGCTTTTACAGTATTTAAAGTTCTATATGCCATGAACAAACGACTCATGATGAAAAACAGTTTATCAAATAAGCAATCGGATAAGTTTGCACAACTGATGAAATATTTGCGAAGAATAATACGTTTCAAGAGTTGTGGTAAGAAAGTCCGGATCAAGCTGTGCAAAATATTCAGCTGTAAACTGCACGTAATAGAAACACGCCAGTGAATATGGGAGCAGTATTGTAATAGAAACACTGAGTACACACACATACACACCATGTACACAAAAACACACACATACCTACATGTACATCATAGGTCAGTGATGCACTACACACCAGAACTTAGACAACGACACAATAATAATAATAATAATAATAATAATAATAATAATACCCGAGTTTCAAATAATAATAATAATAATAATCCAGGGGCGATTGTGGGAAGCAATGAAGTGCTCCTAGATTTGTGGAGCAGGAACTCAACAGGAAAGCCATAAAATGGCATGTAGGAATCAAGCACACCACCATCACATGCAGAGATAACATCCACTGACCCGCAATGAATACTAAGTTAGCATGAAGCGCAGGGCACTGAATGTGCGTCAAGTTCATACCACTGCAAGAATCGGAAACATGATCATCCAAAGTGTCACACAGGTGCTCGTACATGTATGTAGGCCCAAGTCAACACATCACAAATTAATAAGTTGGAAATTGAAAACTGATTTTCGGTTACTAAACCATAAAGCACGGACTAGAGAGTGATACTAAGGATAGTTGAGTGAGAGTCACCTGGTTGACACAGATCGAGGAGAGGGAGGGGAGAGAGGTTGATTGCAGATGATAATAGGATTATTGGTTGTAATGTGCAGGATGGTACCACTCTGGAGCTTCTCCATCCAATACCATGTCGTCGGGATGATAATGAGAATGTTCCTCTTCCCAGTTCATAGATGTACCATGTGCCACCGGTGGCGCTGCATGGTGCTCAACATGTGACCTGGCATGCGATGGTAGCCGTTGTCCACCATATGCGTCGTCGTGTTGTGGCATGTGTGGACGATGCTGCACTTGGTGTGGAGGATCCACGGGATGTGGGGATGGCCATTGATGACCGTGATGTTGGAGGAGCGGTCGTTTATAGAGATTATGGTGCCTTCCATCATTAGTATGTGAATGTCTCTGCCCGCCGCCATGGAGGTCATTGTCACGTCTGTCATGATACGGCAACATGTGATCAGCACTCTCAACACGGTAGTTGCTGCTGTCGCCTGCTGCCCTACGATGTATTGGTGGCACAGAGCTGCCAAAGCTTGTGTCCCTCTGACCTCCATGCCTGTCACTGGCTGATGTCTGGTGACTTTCGTAATAGTGGTTTTGCTCAGGTATACTGTCTCCCTGATCAGCTAACTCCTCATCCGGCTTGATATGGAAGCGTGTAGCCTGACCTTCATACTCAGTACAGTCGCCAGTAGCTGGTCTGTACACGTCCTCCTTGGGTCTCTCTTCTTGTGCTGTGTCAGAGTCATGATGATGATGATGATGATGATGATGATGATTATGCTCCTCTATACTCTGCTCACATTGCTGCTGTTGCTGTTGCTGCTGCTGTTGCTGCTGTTGCTGTTGTTGCTGCTGCTGGTGCTGTGAGCTGGCTACACTGTGGTAAAGATCAGGTGTGACTACCGCACAGTCGTCACTGCTGGCCACATTTGATGGAGCACTTCCAGAACGAGCGTGGGTGTCCATGGGCATTGTTTGCATTGTTGAATCACTTTGCTCAGGGGCTCGAAACGATAGTGTTGAAGCTGGAGCTATTTCGCTTTCATTGCTCAAGCTAGTGGGTAGTATTCCAGGTTCCTGTTTCACTGTGGCACAATGAGTACTTACGGACGGCATACGCTGATCCCTTGCACAGCTGACTGTGGAGTCAGGAGCTGTTTGGGCTTGCGAGGAGCTAACCACAGTGTTCACATTGGAAGCTTGTGCCTTTAAACGGCCATGTTCCCAGTCCGGCGGCATGCCAGGTGGGTGCCTGCTGCCAGCTGAAACAGGTGAGTGATGGGTTGGTTGCCAACATGGACGAGCAACGGGCGGTCCAGCATGAGTAACGTTACCTGGGGGTGCCATGTGTCGCTGGAAAGGTTGAAATTGCTGAATACAAGACGGAGCACTATTTACGGTTGTTGCTGTCGGTGGACATGGTGGTCGTGGTGGACGTGGTGGACGTGGTGGACATAGTGGACGTGGTGGACATAGTGGACGTGGTGGACATAGTGGACGTGGTGGACATAGCCCAAGAGCTGCTGGTTGTAATGGTGGTCGGGCTGAGTCAGCTTGAATTAGGGATGATGGAGACAGTGGTGGCTGATAATGTTGCTGTGCAGGGTAGAAAGGTGGCTGATGATGCTGAGCAGATGACGGTGGCCGGGGTGGTGTGTATACTGATGGTGCATGTGCTGTATACTGATTAGATGACATCATGCTGCTAGCAGCTGCTCCATAGTAACTAGGGGCTCGTTGCATGCAATGCTGCTGTGCATGCGGTGGTGTATAGTGTGCTGTGTGATAGCCTGCACTGGCAGACTGAACTGCCGGTACAGGCTGCGGCTGTGGCGGCGGAGGACGTACTGCTCCGATAGAAAACGCAGCAGATATAGCTGCAGCCATGCGATCCTCTGGAGTGCGGGCGACAGGAGGGGGTGCTTTAGGTAATGTCAATGTTCCGATACGGAAGCTTGTGCTTGGCGGTGGAGGGACGGGCGGATCCACGTCATCATCAGCAGGTGGGGACGGCGGTAAAGGTATATCGGTCAACTTCATCGTCTTCACTGACTTTGACTCCTTCTCAATTACCCGTTTCTTGTCATCTTGGCTCACTGTCTCTCCTATCGTAGCCGATGCCACTGATGCCACTGATGCCACTGATGATGATGATGAGGAGGAGGAGGAGGAGGAGGAGGAGGAGGAGGACGATGATGATGATGATGATGATGATGATGAGGAGGAGGAGGAGGAGGAGGAGGAGGACGATGATGTCACTGTGCATGTGGCTGTAGCAGCAGCAGCAGCTGTGGTTGCTACTGAAGTGGATGGTGATGTTACTACCACTGCAGTAGATGATGATGATGGTACTTTACTTGTACCTTTAGCACCTGTTACTGTGTTACTCGTTGTCACAGCTTCTGCTGATTTAGCTGCATGTGTGGCAGCTGCTGTTACGGCGGTCACCGTAAATACCTCTGAGTTAAGCTGTGCATCATCCCCATCTGCACAGGAGGCTGCTGCTGCTGCTGCCTCTGCTGCTGCTACTGTTTCTGCTATTTCTGCTGCTGTTGATACGTTGGCCATCATTTCAGCTGATGAGTCTTTACCATCTGAAGCAGTAGTTTCTGAAACACACACATAGCCGGGGGTGGCAGAAAGCCAGTATTTTAGGCTGGTACGGTCAACCATCTCAAGTACTCTTCCGAGGACCTCCATTGGAAATTCTCGACATTTCGAGCCAAAATCTTTACATTTTATTGATTCGCAGGGAACCCCAGGGAAAAAAGACTTTGGTGGTACGGCCAATGCAGCAGTGACCATAGCATATCCAACACCCCTGGTACTGGATGTTGCCTCCGCTCGGTCTTCCGCGTGTCGGTCTCAGTTGCTGTGCACTGGGTGGGAGTATGTGAAGTGGTGTGTGTTGTTTGATGCGCGTGTTAAGGTGCTGAATAGTCCTACCAGCACCAACTAGCACATTGTTGGCATTCAAAGTTCTGTACATTCTTGGCTAAAATGTCCCGTTGCCGGATTTGCATGAGAAAGCTACAAAAGAGATTGTCAACCTTTCTGGCCATCCACAGCTCAAAGAATGACAGCAATCATACTGATATCCTGAAGAAGGGCAAAAGGTTCGCCCAGGCCAGGGTTGCTGAAAGCTGAAAAGCTCTCTATCTCCGAGTTTTTTCTTTCTTTTCGCACATCATCTCGGTCGTTTCGCTCATTAAAATAAATCGACACTTGAGAGAAAAGTCAGGAATCACAGGGGACACAATAATAAGGCAGCGTTAGCAGGGTACCGAAAAACCTGACGACATCAGTGCCCGGCCAAACATGCCACAATGGATATCTCGCTTTCAGCCAAATACCACTGAAGGGGTAATGCACCTCTTCTGGTGCCTCAACAGCATTTCTATTTATTTTCTTGCAACAGTGGACATACATGTATTCGCATCGAAACAAATCACCATAGATTGGCATAAAACCCACGAATCAGCTTACATTCTGTTACTTCTGTACCACTTTATCATCATCATGCAATAGTACTTATGCAACCATCATCAATGAAAGAGTAACAATCTAACCCAGACCAGTGTCCCAACCATAGTAACCATAGCAATGAAAATCAAAAGATACTGTCTCCCCCCCCCCCCCCCCCCCCCCCCCGACGATGCCAATGGTGGCAAAGCAAGCAAAAACCACGAGTCTGTCGATTTAGGGAGCTATTTGTGTGGGTACTGTATGTTCCCTCGGTCTTCCGCATTTCCGTCTCAATTGTTGTGTGCTTGGCCGAAGAACAGTGCTGCTTAATGAAACAGTCGAGACACTTCAGTCAGCGCTGGGCATTGCGCAACCCTAGATCTGCGAACACTGAGCTGCAAAATTGTGCAAGGCACAAACTTGACCCACGCGATCGGATTTCATTGAGCAGCACTGTGTCACACCAGCAATGTTTTCCATCATTCTTCTTTTCTTTTTGTTCATCCCTTTGACTTGTACTTTGTAGAATTTGCTTCATTGTTACCTGTGCCGCTTCACTAGTCTGCTTAGGGTAACATGCACACTAATACTTGTGTGTACCGTTTGTGTCCAGTCCAGCCAAATGGCAAAAGAGAATCATTGAATGGTGAACACCACAACTGCATTACACACTGTCTGCTTACCTGCTTCTTGCGGTGAGGATGTCGCTATACTATCTCCAGGAACAGCATCTGCTGCTGCTCCTTCACTGCACGCAACTTCTTCTTCCTCATTTCGAGGAGCATCATCAGTACAGCCATCGGTTGACAACTTGACATCTTCTTGGACCACAACTAGCTCAGGATCAGGCTTGGGCTCAGGCTTGGGCTCAGGCTTGGGCTCAGGCTTGGGCTCAGGCTCAGGCTTGGGCTCCATTCGAGGAAGTGCAATATTGCCATCACATTTTCCTGATGCAGCGGCCTTTTTCGTATCCTTCGTATCAGTGAGAAGTGGTGGACTACCCTTGCATGTCCTTTGCACAAAGACAACAGCAATTCAAACAATAAGCACACAAAACAAAACACAACAACTGCAGTAGGCATACACCTGTGCCGCAAGGATGGTGTACTCTTATCATGTATGGTGTAATTTCATTCCACCTTATGTTGCAAGACATAGATAGGTCCACCTCAATTGTTTCTCCTCAATACTGATGATGGCTCCTGCATGGCCAAAAAATTGTTTCAGAAAACGGAACTATGCAACGAAGAGACCACTTGCTTTGAGGATGGAGTAGGGCTTTCCGTGTAATGAAGTAACTGCAGTGGAGCCTGTGCATCTCAAGACGTGCATGAACAAATCAACTTTACCTAGCAGAAGTTTCATACTTACATGCTAGAAGCATCCAGGAAATCTTCCAGCATGGATATTTCAATCTACAGAAACACACAAAGACGCACACACAAGTGTAAAAGGCACACGAAGAATGAAAAGGTTTGCAGTGTGGTAGTCCGTATGGATAGGAACCCAGCTGTTCAAATCGCAGTGCTGGAAAGGTGCACAAAACGAAGACAAGAAAAGGACACTTCTCCGTGCTCTACAACAGTGTAACAGAAATAGCAGCCTGAGTAGTGTTCTCCAACTTCACACAGTGTACACTGCAATAAATAGCAGGGTGTGAGCAATGTGCAGTGTGCAGTGCTTGGGGTTGTGCTCAGTGTAGCTATTCCACATTTCTTGGTGAAGGGTGTGCATAGCTATGCACTGCGCACTGGTCGTGGGTGCGGTAATGTTGCACTACTGAGCATTGTTGAGTGTGCTGCGGGAGAAAGAAAACTAGGCGCAGCGGCCTCTTCTATGTGTGTGTGTGTGTGTGCCGTATGAACTGGTAGGGTGTCCATCCCAGGCTCCTGCAGATACCAGTGAGTGTGGATGCTAATGTCGGATCTCAGAGTTGTATGCAGTGTACTGCTATGCAGTTACTGGGTATCTTGCAAATCAGTAAGATGGCAGTCTTGGCTTTTATCTTCATCTCGGTTTGAGTTGTTGGACCTTCATGATTACAAGAGCAATGTGGTGTTGCGTGAGCAGCACCAGAATGGCAATTAACAGTGTCCTGGAATAGTGTGAGGTGCCAGCAGTGAAGTGTGTGTGTGTGGGGGGGGGGGGGGGGATGGGTGGGCCCAGTACTTGTACTTGGTGGAAGATGACCAGACAGAGACTGCCAAGTATTGAACACTGACTCTACCACCTATTCCATTTACACTGTCACTCATTCAATTCCAAACAGACAAGCCAGGGGTTAGAGACAAAGGACACAGTGGCTAGCAAGAAGATGAAACCACTCACCCCAGCTGCATTGAATAGCTTAGCAGCGCTGCTCTCCACATAATCTGCTGCAAATGAGAGAAGTAACATTAGAAGATATCCAGAGTTGAGTGACTAGTTCAGCACCTACTCAACAACACTCACACGTGCGGGTGCCACACCCAATAGGACACCATTAGCCATGCACAGATATAGATAAACATCAAGGTTGAGTATACATGTATGTAATGTAGCCCAGTAGACATGTATGTAATGTAGACATGTATGTAATGTAGCCATGTATGTAATGTAGACATGTATGAACTACTGCTTTACTACTACATACATGTATGAACTACTGCTTTACTACTACATACATGTATCAACTACTGCTTTACTACTACATACAGTCAGACGTCGCTTATCCGGTCTTCCTTTATCCGGATCGCTCACTATCCAGAAGAAAATCTCTGGTTACCGAATTACAGCATACATGTACATTGCGCATACAACATAACCGGACCTCGCGATCCGCATACCGGTGCATGATTTTCTGTACAAACTGGTTCAAATGTGTACAAAAAGCTTCGTCGTATCCGGCTGCAGTAGCTAGGAAAAAGGAAAGAAAATGGAAGGCTGGACAAGAGGCAAGCTGCTAGCTGGCAGGGCAGTCTGAAAACATGACAGCGTGTCGGCGTGCGTAGCCGTGACAACCATGCAGCTTCGATAGTCTACCTTCTTTACTTATTACAGAACCACTATCTTTCTTGTGATTTAGTCTTCTTCATGCAAGTCTATAATATGTACCAGATTGTACTTGTATGCTTTGGTGAATAACCTGCTGGCCAGTGGCCTAACTGTCCCAAGATCACCACTTCCGACCTCTATTTTAAACGGCAATGGTCGTGTGGCAGGCACTGCAGGCGAGGAGCCAAGTTCCTATCTCTGTACAGTCAACCTCGTGAACAACGACCTCAGGCCGCATAACAACGACCTCAGGCCGCATAACAACACAATCTACAGACCTAGTGACATTCGACATTCGCATACTTTCAAACTCAAGGATAATGACAACTCTCGAATCTCATGCAGGATCGAGGATCGTTATTCGAAATGTTGACTGTACACGATCTCTGCTATTCTGTACTCAGCATCAGCAGCAGCAACAGCAGCAGCAAACTGGAAAAAAACATTAACAAATTGAAGACCTTACCTGTTACGAATGAAACATGGCGGAATTTCTCCACACACCGTGCCTGAATTTTCTTCAGCGTATCTAGCCATTGCATCTGAGTAAACGACTCACTGGATAGATCCATGTCATCCAACTAGATATGTCACACACACACACACACACACACACACACACACACACACACACACACACACACACACACACACACACACACACACACACACACACACACACAAACACACACACGTACACACACATGCACAAACACACAAACACACAAACACGGACAGACGGACAGACGGACAGACAGTAGCCAAGCAAACCGTTACATGGCGGGGAAAGTAATCCGGTAGTTCCGTGTAGATTAGCGGACAAGATCAAACAAGAAACTGAACAATCACTAGAGTGCTGACATTGACAGCTAACACTCACCACTCACCTCAGTAAGGACAGCGATGACACCTTCTTTGCGTAGCAGTTCCAAGTCAGTCTGAATAGTAGTGGTCGCAGCAATGCCGCGGTGGGTACACACAATTGCACAAGTAGGTAGTTACAAGGAATAATTTGCACAAAGAGATTCAGACAACGCACGAAGCACAGAACTTTTATACTGAAAAGACTCAAGTGAAGGTAAGACTCTAAACAACTGAAAAAGACTCGACAGCTGAACTGGGAAACTGAAAGACGGATTTATATACGGTACGAGATTGAAGTCCAGTTACGGCTCCGAGCGCTAGCTAGCGATCTATGAATGGCAGCAAGGGACAGTGTCAGTTATGCATCACTGGCCGCATAAGTGCTATTGTGTGGAAGGAAGAACAGATACTATCTAATGTAGGTAGCAAGAGACCTGATGGTGCCAGCAATGAATAGCGCAGTACATAGTGGTTTGTGTAGGAGGAAGTCTCTCTACTACAAAGGGTCATCCACCTCATCAAGCATACCCGGTAAAAGGTTGCATGATCAGCAGCGTCCAGGACCACTCTCCAATTCCAGTTCTGATTCAGGGAGGTGAGTCAGGCTGGTCAGGTTGACACATAAAGTTCAGGTCTACTCTATAGTCAACTTATACCCAGGCCTCCATTGTAAGTAGTCTTCCCTTTTATCCAGTCTTCCCTTGAACCCAGTCTTCCCTTGAACCCAGTCCTTTCTGTAACTAGTTATGGATATCTTCGCAAGACCAACCTGTCCATATTGCTATGTACGATTGCTTACCTTCAGGTTATCAGCCTCATCAGCACAAGAACTGCTGTCGAAGGGCAATATAAAAACACACATATACAAACACACACACACACACACACACACACACACACACACACACACACACATACATACACACACACACACACACACACACTCAATGTCAAAACAGGACTGATGAGTTAAGTAACTTTTAAAGATGGGCCATGACATGAAAAAGAACAATCCACGCAAAGTACAACACATGTAAGCAACTGTACCTTTCAAAGAGAACATGGCCAAATGCTGCCTTGGACAAGAAGAGACTCCATGCCTTTCTTTTGGATTTCAGAAAGCTCACCAGCTGCTTCATAGTCTCTGCAAAATGCACAATACAATCATAATACAACCATAATGCATAGTCATACATAGTCATACAATCATAGCCATACATAGGTGACAATGAAACCAGGCCACTACACTGACCAGTTCAAACACTGTTTGCAGTACTTGTAACCAAGATACAGGAACTCTTCTAAGATGCTGTATGTAGCAGGTAGCAGAGTAGTAGCTTAGGAAAACAAAGCACACAGCATGCAACTATTACCTTGTGCTGTGTTCAACATTGCAGCTGCATCAGCCACAAGGACACCCGTTGACTTGGGGAAGAATTCCTTTAACTGTCCTGTCTGTAGTTCTGTGAGCAGCATGACGACATCAGAGTTTACCAAGATTTCACTTACATATTACACACAGAAGCTGAGCTGCCATCATTTTTCGTAGATCATATATCTTATAGCATTGTGTACCTTCCCCTTTCTTAGGGGACTTTCCCTAGCTAGGCACACATTCTCTGCAAACCAACAAAATGACACATGTCAGACCTTGCCTGCTAAGTACACAACCCCACTATCACTTCAACAATAGATTCTACTTGTAGTTCGCAACACGGATGAAGTTGAGGCAGTACGGACCGAGTGAGGGAACATGCTCTTCATCCATGAACTGTCGCTTACCCCCAGCCATTCAGCATTCCTCAAATAGTTTCTGATTCTATAACAAAGAGTGTTTCCGCTGAGACCTACCTCCTTACCTTTCAAGGAATTGAATGCTGCAAATCGCACTCTAGGAATGCTTTTCAATGCATGTAGTCGTGGCAGCCTGGGGATAACATGGTCAGGGAGGAAACAAGCATGCCCGGCAGGATAGGCAAGGCAGTGGTGAGAATGCACTCTTAGACTGTGACAGTGTACATGAACCGATTCACAGTACTTTGTACCATCCTACCCTCTTACAAAGTACATGTATGCATGTCACATGACGTTGTCTGGTCAACAGCCAATCAGAGACATTGCAGGCCATGTGAATATCTTCGTATGGGCAGTTGAATATACAGTAAAACCTGGTGTAAGCGACCTCTGGTTTTAGCGACCACCTGCTTTGCGCGACCGTTTTTCCATGCACCGACAGTTTTACACAGAAACTGCACCGGATACAGCGACCACCCGCTTTCCGCGACCCATTTTTAGTGTACCAAGTGCCATATCGGACCTGCACACAGCGACCAAAACTAACCAAAAGTGCCATCTTGGCTGGCAGGGCTGACTGCAACAGGGTTGAAGTGTGGCTCTGAAGCAAGTGCGTGCAGTCAACAGAAGTGACAAGTGACAGAGCAGGATGCGCTGCATGCACTTGAGTGGGGTGTGCTTTGCCCGCATGAGAGTATTCTATGCTCCACACCTGTCAATATGAGTACAGTCATGGAAGTGTCACTTTTAAACCAGGTTTTACTGTAGGCACAATGCTACGTTCACGTGGCTTGGATCTTGCTACATTTCACTTGTCACGACTAGCTGGACCATTCCAAGCCAGAAGATTTCCATGTAATTTGGCTGCCGACTTTGACAACTGCCTGCGCCTATGTTCATTTAACATACACTACAGCCTACATGATCTGGAAAATGTATTGTACATACTTGCTAGCTGCTCTGCTGGCTAAACACCAGTACACCAGTTATATGTACATGTACATGCTCTCAAGCAGTGCATACACTAGACATAGAGCACACAATGCCAGTACACCAGTCCTGATACATGCTCTCAAGCAGTGCATGCACTAGACATAGAGCACTCAATACCAGTACACCAGTCCTGATACACGCTCTCGAGCAGTGCACGCACCAGACATACTGTACAGCGCATAACATAGTGTTACATGCAGACATGCAGGCATGCTCCGTCTTACCTATCAACACTGGCCAGTCTGTTGCCATTCCATAAGACAATGATATCAGAGTTCTTATCGGTCCCTGCTAGCTCCAATGCACCAGTCGGTGACAACGGTAGATCGTTCTTTGCAAACTGCTCCTACAAACAGCAATGCAAAGACACGGCGCACACAGTACACAATGTGCATCACAGTACTCATAGCATAAGCGGCAAGCACACACTTACATGAAGTACATCTTCAACTCGCCAGGAAGAAACAGTCTACAAGAAAAGATTTTAGTAACATATCAGAGAACGTAAAAGCATGCCTGTGCCTGTAATATCGTGGATAAACAAGCACGCCTGCGTCTGCTATGCCATGGATGTACGAGTACAAAGGCTAACACAATGCCTTCTCACCTGAGCATGCTTGGCCAGTACATCGCCATCTTCTACATGTACAACGGTTCTGAATGACGCCATAGAGGTCAGGTCAATCAATCTAGTACGTGACGATTCATCAGTGCTGTCCATCTCACTTGCAGACGCTTGCGTTTGTGCTGACGTGTCTGGCGATTCAGAAGCTTGTGGATCCTTCAAGCCTTTCCCAGTTTGTTGTGAATACAGCGAAGGTAGTGTTTGACGAGGTGGTGTAGCAATTCGAGTAGAACGTGTACTTGTACACAGGCCTGGCGTCTTGTCCGAATATTTGTCAAGGATCTGCCGGAGATAAGCACTGGGTTTCAAATCCCTGCTTGTTGCGGCTTTGCTCACAGTGTTCAGTGGTCGGGCAAGCAGTGGTTGTAGAATCTTGGATGGCTTGAAGAAGGAATACCTAGGTGGCTGTGAGGAAGCTTGGACAACTGGCTGGCTAGAAACTGGACTGGCTTGCTGGAGCTGAGAGAGTGGAGAGGATATCCCGGACACTGTAGTCTTCATCTCCGCTGCAGAGCTGGCCGCCTTCTGACTCGATGTCGATGTTGACAATTCCAGTATGCCGTTGCTTGCGGTTGCATCCTTGACTGCAAAGCGATGGCCTAAGCGCCGGCCAGTGACCGTAGAGCTGTTCCAGTGAAAACCTGAAAGGCCTCTCCGACTTTTAGCATTCGTCCTAACTTTTTCTACACTTGTTGATGTTGTTGCAGAATGCTGTGACTTATCAGAATGCTGTGACTTATCAGAATGCTGTGACTTATCAGAATGCTGTGACTTATCAGAATGCTGTGACTTATCAACACTGGAGGTCTCCAATGGCTTCCTGCTGGGTTCAGACATTGGCGGTGGTGATGAGGGAGAACCCTCGCTTTCATCTGAGAATGCTCTCAATGAAGAGAGGCTGGTAGACGGCGCAATAAGCTGCGCATGTGAGTGAAGAGTGTGTTTCTGAGACGACACTTTGCTACTCTGCACTTGCCCAGCATCGGCCCTATTATCCATGGCTGGCACAAATGATGGAATGTTCCGTGCTTGCTTAGGAGTGGCCACATTCTCCTTCATCAGCTCTTTGTGATTAGGAGTGGCCACATTCTCCTTCATCAGCTCTTTGTGATGACCTGGCCCACTGTCACTGTCACTACCACTGCAGCTCTTGTCATCACCATCATTTCTACTCGCTCTTTGTCTGCTTCGCCACGAGACACTTTTATCACGGGTTTTATCACGGGTTTTATCACGGGTTTTATCACGGGTTTTACCACAGGGCTGAGAGTATCCTGTAGTAGGTGCTGGCATGGGACTTGAAGGTTTCCGAATAGGCGAGTACCGTGATCTTGATGAAGCAGAGAACAGTAATTTTCTACGACTGTCCCCTCCGCGAGCAGTGTCTGTATTCTGCAGCTGCTGCTGCTGCTGCTGGCGGCCATCACGCTCAGTACTGTGGCTGGACTGCCGTGCTGTGCTCGAATCATCTTCCTTGGACCTGGACCGGTAGTGTGATTGTTCGCTTCTCGGCAGCATAGTCCGGACAAGTTTGGCAGCCCTGCGGCCGTGCATCACATCAGAATCACTGGATGAAAGCTTAGAGGTTCGCTTGCGACTGCTCTCACATGCCTTGCTAGAGGTGACTTGACTCTGAGATGCCTTGCCTTTCTTACTTTTCTTTGGTGCGCCATATTTTGAAGGTGGAGCTGTTGCTGCCGCTGCTACTGGAGATGCTGATTCAGAAGGGGATACAGATCTTGATCTGGCTTTCAAATTGCTTTTCTTCTTCTTTTTCTTCTTTTTCTTGTGAGAATTGGTTGATGTAGAATGAGCAGTACTACTTACTCTCTGCGGTGGCGGCGTACTGTCTTCAGGTTTCTTGGAGCTCGGTTTCTTCTTTTTCTTCTTCTTAGGCTGCTTCTGTTTACGACTGCCAGCACTAACACTGCCGCCACTACGGTGAGCCTTTTTGTGACGATGCTTGCGTTTCTCTTGCCTTGCTCGTCCTTGCCAAGAGTGCTGCTCAGTAGTGCGTGAATCTGAACCTGCTTCACTACTGGATGAGCTGCTGTCATGACACCCAGCTGAAGCATGGCGGTCTCCTTCGGTCAAGTCCAGAGCTGCTGTGGACGTGTCTGGATAGGGCACAGGGCTCTGACTTCGGCTCACCAACCTGTCAGCCGAACGACGGACTGGTGGAGGAGGAGAACGGTGAATACCTTGCATAGACAGCTGGTCCGAATCAAGAACTTCAACTTCCTCACCGACAAGTGGCTCATACTCCATTGCACTGTCCAAATCACCAGCTGTGAGATACGTTGATGTTCCATACGCACTAGAAGTATTGACTGCCTTAGACTGCAGCTGACCTGATGGATCATCAGTATGCAGTGCTGTTGCACCTGTACCGTCAGTAGGTACAGTTCCAGGACGGGATGTAAGATGCTGAGGTGATTCCACTGCAGACACCTGGTGATCATGACCTACACCTGACAGGCTGTGATGTTGGTTGTGAGAAACATTGGCAGGGTTACCGATAGAGATTGCAGTGGCACTGGAGCGAGCAAAGCTGCCAGCAGATCGCTGTACATGCCGATGTGATGACGCAGGAGGCATTGCCACTGAATCCTGTGATTGAGTAGACCCAGTGACCTCTCCAGCGTCGGCAGCTCTGTTAGAGCCCGCACTACGGAACTGCTGTGTCATCAATAGCTGAACAACTTGCTGTTGAATACGCTCTGAGACAGCAACAGAATCCAACCTAGATTCACATAACAGCACAGACACCAACAGCACAGACACCAATAGCAGCAGCAGCAGCAGCAACAGCAGCAACAGAAGGAGGAATTAGAAATTATCCAATGGTTAACAAGTTCAGCCAGGCTCAAGACACCGAGTTGAATGGTAAGAGTTCTACCATGGTTAGTAACACGACATGCTCAGTAACAATTCTATTTGAGAACTGCTTTGCTGACAAATCTGTCCATTTAACTCCACTTCACACTGCTATTGTGTGAGTACATACACGCATACATGGCATACACTACAAGTTGTTTGAATACATACACGCATGTACAGCTGTATTCTGTATGCATGAACACACTAACCGTACACACATGAGCAGCACACATTCCTTGTCTCCCCTAGGTACAAGTACAAGTATGTAGTTCTTACTGTGCTGTGTTCTTGGACATGATATCGGCCACGGCACTTGTCAATTCATTGACACGCTCTGGCGGTAATGCTAAAAGGTAGCGCACACAAGGCCACAAAAGAACACACAGAGACAATACACAACACAGATAAATCACACGTTGTTATCATGAGTCTTCTTCAAGTGCTCGTTAGGGGTCCTCAGACCAGTAAAAGTGCCGTGTTCTAGTTTCTTTGCTAGCATGGTAGAGTTACATCCTGTCAATGTTTATACGAATATAGCCCACCAATGTAGTGGCTCCAACATTGAAATCTCAGTCTTAGCAATGATTGAGATTTATTGCTGAAGATGGGCCTGGCCCGAAATTTGGATTTCATTTAATAATTTTGGAAGAATTTGTAGCCGAGAGACCATTCTTGGTTAGTGGTGTATAGCTGTGTTTAAATAGCAATGATCAATTCTACCAAATAAGGAGTTCTTGATGGGTTACTACAACATCTAAAAGGAGTTGCTAATCTTGCTGGTAGGACTCCTGTTAGCAAAACATTACAGCGTACCTGCGAGTGAAAGGAGGAGGAATGGGTTGCTTGATGCCACTTGCATGAGCTTGGCCATGGCAAGAGATGACGGCACACTACCCATGAGCGCTGATGCCATTGTATTGCCACCGACTGCTCGGCCTTGAGGCTGTACTGCCGGTGGCTGTGTGCTTGTATGTACATACCCAGTAGGTATACCGTCCACAACATCAGTGTGCGGGTAATCAGTAGTGTGCTGGTGTACTGACACTCCTGATGGCTCATCCACATTACGGGCCGAGGAAGGGGTGAACCCCTGATTTAGTGCAGCACCTAAGTTAGGACCCACAGAACTTGTTGAAGCAGTACTGCCAACAGTGGCACTACCAGCAGTACTGTCACCACCACGAAGACCAACACCAGAGATTGTGCCTTGTCTAGATTCCCTATCAGAGTACCTAGCACCTGCAGCAGGGTGATGGCTTTGTTCTGTTGGTGGTGTCAGGTGTGAGGGCTGCTGCTTTTGTTGTTGTTGCTGTTGTTGTTGCTGATGTTGCTGCTGATGTTGCTGCTGGTGCTGCGGATGTTGCTGCTGATGCTGATGCTGCTGCTGCTGCTGCTGTAGCTGGCTGTTGGTCTGATGGGACTGTGAATGAAGCTGATGCTGTGGTTGATGCTGCATGTGCGACTGCGGTGGAATGAAGGGTAGTTGTGTATCACTATCCTGCTCCTGATTGTATAACTGGGGTGTTGGATCATGCTGCTGCTGCTGCTGGTGGTGCTGCTGGGGTGATGGGTGTTGATGCTGTAATTGCTGCTGTTGCTGTTGTTGTGGCTGCTGCTGCTGTTGCTGCTGTTGTTGCTGCTGCTGTTGATTTCCTTGCTGAAAGGTGTCAGAACTGATGGGCTCTTCCTTGATGACAATAACTTTACTTGGATGCTGAGCAATGGCTGGTTCATTCCTGACAGGTGCTGTTTGCTGCATAGAACTCCCCGCTGTGCCAGCAGAAGTCATATTGTCACTAATGGTTGGCCCGTGAGAGGGTACCATGTCTGAACATGGCTGTGAAGGTCCTGTGTTTGCAGGTGAACTACCAGAAGCTGCATTGTGCCGTGGAGGTAGCGGCATTGTTGCTTCAGCAGGAAGTCTCTCTTCATGTGGCGGAACAAGCATTGCACCTGGAGTTTTGCCAGCTACACTAGAATGACCAGGGTGGTCAGCAGGCACAGATGGCATTGAAGGTATGGCCTTGTCTGGCTTACAAGCAATCTTCGGTAAGGACCGCGGGTCTTCTCGGTGTCGTTTGACATTCTCCGCAGTCGCCGCGCCGACCAAACCACTGACATTCTCCGCAGTCGCCGCGCCGACCAAACTACTGACTGAAGCAACACCATTACCTGCACCAGCAGCAGCAGCATTACCGGAATTTGCCAGACTACCAGAAGGGGACATTGACCTGCCACTGTGTTGCATTGCCAACGGTGGCTCACCCTTCCTCTTCACACGCACCTTTGTGGAGTATGTACGTGGTGGTTCGGCACTAAGAGTGGCTGAAAAGACACACACATACATACACACGCATACATACACACATACACACACATACACACACACACACACACACACACACACACACACACACACACACACACACACACACACACACACACACACACACACACACATATATACACACCCACACACGCAAAAGATGACTCTCATTGCTAACAGTTACGAATGGCTAACAGTTGATTCGACTAGCTTTTCACCGTTGCATCTCAATTGCAATGTCCCTAAGTGATCATTCTACACAATGACAATAGTGAATTCTTCAAATCACAAAAAAACCTTCCTTCGACGGTCTCTTCACTGCATTTGAGAACAAACAAACTTGCAAGTAACAGAAACCAATACTTGGGCTGGGGGGGGGGGGGGCATCATCAGGGTTAATAAGAAACGAAGAGTGGGTGCACCTAGTATATGCATGGAAACACTACAGCAGGTGAGAAGACTACAGCAATGGTACAAAACTCTGCATTTACAATGTTGAACTCACTGTAACGTGTGTGGCTTGTGTTTATGTGGCAAGACTGGCGTGTGAGAAAGACATGATGTAATACCAAACATAACCGACTGACCAGGTGCTACTGTTCGTGTGACTGTAGATGAGAGGTATTTTAGTTCTAGTTTTGACATGTCTGGCATTCACCCGTCTTCCACAGACAGACAGACAGACAGACAGACAGACAGACAGACAGACAGACAGACAGACAGACAGACAGACAGACAGACAGGCAGGCAGGCAGGCAGGCAGGCAGACAGGCAGACAGGCAGGCAGACAGGCAGGCAGACAGGCAGGCAGGCAGGCAGGCAGGCAGGCAGGCAGGCAGGCAGGCAGGCAGGCAGGCAGGCAGGCAGGCAGGCAGGCAGGCAGGCAGGCAGGCAGGCAGGCAGGCAGGCAGGCAGGCAGGCAGGCAGGCAGGCAGGCAGGCAGACATACACCAGTGTAGTGTCACCACATAAGCTTCAGTGATTGACTTAGTGCAATGTTGTGATTGCTTAGTTTTTGTACCATTGGTGAAGTCTTCTAAATAGCCCATCATGAATGTATTAATAAATTAATGTAATAAACACAAGTGAATATAAATGCAATACAAAACTGGTGTTGTCTTCTCACCTATTGCAGTCCTGGCATGATTGTACTTCTATACTAGGTGCACCTCACTGTTCGTTTCCGCTTTTTAACCCTGATGATAACCCCCAGCCAAAATATCAGTTTCTATTTCTTGATGACTTCTTGACGATTGCCTGAGATGGCATGACACTTGAAGTTGTGGACTGCTACTCTGGCCAACTTGTGCTTACTGTTTTGCCATAGGCTGTTCTCGAATGCAGTGAAGAGATCATTGAAGGAAGATTTCCTGATTTAAAAAAAGAATACATTGCCTGCAGTGGAGTGTGCGCACTCTGTACAGCTGTGATTATTCAAGTACAAAAAAATGGTCATTTTCTTTTCTCATCCGACTATGCACTTCTCATGTGAGTATGCATGGCTGTGTCACACAGAGCCCACCACAGCCATGAACTTGAGCTGTTCCATCATCCTCTAGTCTATTCGATAAACAGTCTGACATATCAATAATTGTTGAGTTAAGCAAGTTTTTCGGCTGCTTGGGCCACTCCATGCAGGCATGGCTAAGACTAACTGATGCTGAGTCTGAATTAGCACAACTATGCACAAGTTAACCGCCCATTCACCCCCTCTTCAATTTCAAACTGGCTACAACCCTGACCGTCATCTATACTTCAACCTTCTGAGATTTTGTCTCTGATGTCCACAAGAACGTGAACTTAATCAGTCTGTAACTTCAGCTAAGCCTATTGCCCATCATCGCTTTCTGATGAAGTTTCTAAGCTCAAGGATGAATGTCTGGCTATCCCCCGACATCCCCTGATAGTTATTTTCATAGCGCCATCAGTGGATTGCATTCAGATAACTGCTAGCAATGCCCGTGAACTGCTGCTCACTGATACTGTTTGTTACTAGGCTTGCCTGGAACGGCAGTGATAGCATCGAGTTTGCTAAGAAAACCAGAGCTGTGGACTTGCATGGTTATCCTACAGTAAATGACATACCGGTATCTCCAATAATAATTCTGCCGTCATCACCACACAACAATGAAGTCATGAAGGATCATTGTGGTGTGGTGATGACGGCAGAACTTACTAGCTTACTCATATCCTATTTATTCCAATGATAACCTCCAAGTATCAAACCTATATTGCGATCAATAACTATTTTAAAAGAGGTGAACAAGATGTTTGGTAGAAGAAGAAGTGTAGTTGGTAACCGCCCCTGGGTCCCAACTTCTCATGTTGCGCTTGACAGAAGTTTGCATCGTTGTCATCAGGAGTGTCGCTGTGAGCACGTGCTTACTGTAAACTGGCCAGCGATTGTCGTGCGCATCAAACAACACATAACTGACAAGCTACCTCTTGACACCCGCCACCTAGCCAGAAGTGCCAGTGGCATCACCCTGCACCTGAACTAAGGCTAAAGGAGGAGCCAGTGTGTAGGTCGGAGCAGCTGCAGCGCTATCACCCCACAGGGTGCAATAGGTGGGTGGCACTGTCGTTGTGTACCGGAGGTGTTGTACATCCAGAGCAGCCGGAAACCTGTGCTGTGCGTACAGAAGCAGCTTGTCAAGGTGTTGAAACTTTTTACCTTCAAGTGACAAGGGATGTGAGATCTTCTCTCCAAGTGGATAAACCAGTGTCCAGGATGATGTACATGTAGAAGAAACAAATCCTTTGAAGGAGAGCTCTGTGCCAGAACAGCTTTGCAGCTTAGAGAGCGTGTGTGGGCAGGCGTGTATTTACCGCCATATTGCCAGGCGTGTATTTATCGCCTTGGTCTTCTTCTCCTCCATGTGAGACAATGACCACTGTTGATAACTTACGTATTACTACAAGTATGTGCTTTGAGAGTCTTGAGTGCTGAGACTGTATACGGCTTACAATACTGCCAGGTGTGTAGTTACGACACACATACAAACCATAAGTACAGCTGCAGTGGAGTCTTCAACTTCATTCTCCCAAATCCTTGGAAGCTAGGAAATTGCAGTCATGATGATAGTGAAGGTTGGAAATGGGGACCACGAAGAAGAATATACTGGCGTTTGGCAGCGCAGGAAGTGGAAAGTCCACCATTTCCCCTGTGGGTCAACGGCTCGCTATGGAACACTGGTGATCTGGTGCTGGACATAGAGCCTGGGGTGCGCGCTGAAAGTATGTTGTGGGAATTACTGGCACACGGATTCGCCGCCGGAGGATAAGCTGTGGGAGTTACACATTTCCGCCATCATCCACCTCGCCCTTGTATGGTCCTGGGTGGCTCAGATGAATGCAGTCTGGGGAAATGCAGTGAGTACATGCGAGACATGCTGCTGGAAGAGACACTATGAGCGTACTTGTACATAAACACAGGACTGCCTGTATCTCCAGAGTGGTTTATCGGTCTTGACACAGACGTACCCAATTGAAGAAGGAAAGAACGAAAGTTAACTCATTATGCATTGTTGTCCATCAATGTATTGCTAAGGTAGAGTGCGAGTAGGGGCAGGATGTGCCACATTTGGCACAGTACTGACAGATTATACTGGCATACAGCCACCTGACATTTGGCTTCATCACATCTTAAGTGCGCTGACCAATATTTTGGTCCTGACAGATTATACTGACATACAGCCACCTGACATTTGGCTTCATCACATCTTAAGTGCGCTGACCAATATTTTGGTCCTTTCTTTCTTCAATAACATGTTTGGCTCCGGATCCGAGTCTATAAAATTTCAAATTGAATGAAACCTTTCTCTGTCTGTCTATCTGTCTCTCCCTCCCTCCCTCCGTCCCTCCCTCCGTCCCTCTCTCCCTCCCTCCCTCCCTCTCTCTCTCTCTCTCTCTCTCTCTCTCTCTCTCTCTCTCTCTCTCTCTCTCTCTCTCTCTCTCTCTCTCTCTCTCTCTCTCTCTCTCTCTCTCTCTCTCTCTCTCTTTCTCTGCAGAGTTGAATTAGGTGTACATGTAGACGGCGTTTTGCACAATCTCTTTTCCCTGGTGTTCTAACCCAAAGCGCAACACATAATATGGAAACCTGTGATATGCTACTACTTGTATTATGTTGGTGCTGATGTGCACATGGTGGGGAGGGGGCCAGGGGGTTGTGTTTTCTCAGGATGGCTATTTTAAATACCAGTGTACATTCAGGAATTTTAAAAAGACCAAGTGTAACATGCTGGCTTGCAGTCGTCTTCACTCACTGCATTGCTTAGCACAGTAAGTATTAGTACAGTACGAATACGTCCGCCGTAATAGTAGAGCCTAATGTAGAATGTGCTATGTTCTGTGTAACATACCCGGTTTATTCATTTTTTCCCCGGTTTATTCATTTTTTCCCCGGTTTATTCATTTTTTCCCCGGTTTATTCATTTTTTCCCCGGTTTATTCATTTTTTCCCCGGTTTATTCATTTTTCCCGGTTTATTCATCATTTTCTTGTATTTTCTGTAATTTCAGTAGAGAAACCAGGCACCTTAAGTTAGACTACACCTAACAGGCACTGGAGTATGCATTGCATGTGAAGGGAATGTTGGTCACCTAATTCTACGCTACATCTGAAAACCATCAGGTCTCTGATGCCAAAAATTTAGTACGCCCGCAAAGTTACATGTTGCATGGTATACACTAATCATCCAGACTAGCAAGAAAATCAAGAGACATACCAGGAATAGGCGCAGCAGGGCACGTTCCATCCTTCCAAGCACAAAGCACGTGAACAGATCGAACCTGGCTCGCAGCGTCAGGGATGGTAAGCCCTGAAAAACCACATCGCAATACCAATAAGTAATACACCGCTTCTGCCAGATTCAATAAAACATTTATAGTACGTTGAACCACCCAATCCTGTTGGTTGTGATTGTTAAAGAGCAATGATAGTAATCAATGCAATAAAATAAAAAGACCAATCCGAGTAGTATCAGAGGGCGCACACATTCCACTGTACACACTCCCTTAGTACATTGACTGCACATACCATACCTGCGTGTCTTTTTAGTGCAGTGATGCTTCTTTTTTTTCTCTACTCTAACTCCATGACAATGATACGGTTGAGAAACCGTTCCATGCAATATGAATAAGGAGTACTTTGAAGTATACTGTATGGTCATGTTGTACGTAGTGCAAGAGAAGCAGATGACGGTGATGCACAGTCTGGCTATGTTTAGTTTACAGTACAGTCAGACCTCGCTTATCCGGTCCTCTTTTATCCGGATCCCGCGCCATCCGGAAGAAAATCGCTGGTCACCGATTTACAGCATATGTCATGCATACATACAGTATGTGTGTTCAATTATCCGGTTCCCTCTCCTATCCGGATCTTTTTGTGGAAAACGGATGTGTGCGGTTAAGCGAGGTCTGCCTGTATACCGGTATGATCGCATACAGGATTGGCCAGTAGCAGGTTGGACAGCCATGGCAGCAGTGTACCATAGCTAAGATTGTTACATCCCTTATACTTTGCACTGGCATTGCGGGAGATATCGTCAGCCAGTGCGAGCTGAAGTACACCTGGTCAACACAAGTATGATGATATTGGTTGCTTGTCTCTCTTGCTTTCAGCCCGGTACCATTTCCACTCAGGTGACGAAACTAGACATCTAACACTCTTTTAGACAAAGCTGGGAACACCAAAGACTCAGGACTCAAGATGACGAATGAATCCAGTGTGATTGCGGCACATGCACACACCTCGTATACACAACGTGACATGCAAGACCACCAAAAATGAACATTCGTATAATCTTGTGCGTACCCTGACACCATAAGTTTGCAAAAGAAATTGAATGCCATAATATTATAATTATGACAACCAGAGTGACTGCTGCAAGGTCTGTGTGCCCTGCCATAGCAGTGTCCATTTCTTTGTTTGATTACACATGCCAGTAGTATACACCATATAGACCAGTGCCTGCTGGAGAGCCGCGTCAGCCGGGTCACGCGCCCGGCTGGGGAACTGCACGACCTGGCTGAACAGATAACACCGGGTCCAGTCTTACCCGGCTGAAAAATGTCTCAAACTGACAATGGATTCCTAAAATACCGGTATTTTACGACTCGCGGACCCCATCTGTTGCAAATCTAGCGCAACCGTACACACTACAGTCTACAAGCGACAGAAACTCGGCTAGGGTCAACTGGGGTCAACTGGTTCGAGCGCGATCTGGCCAGCGGCGAGCAGGAAGTCAGGACATTCAAAGTAGGGCAGGCAGTCAAAAGCGTAACTTTGGCTATAGCTTTTGACACAGTTGCAAGTTTTCAGCTGACTGGTGATTTGGACGATGGGGCCCGCAGCGAAGAGAAAAAGAAGAGCAACGCCAGCAGCAGCTGCTGCAGCAGCGCCAGCAGCAGGAGCAGCAGCAGCTGTTGCAACTCCACCAGTTCTCTAGTCTGCTGAAGCCTTTCAGCAGATGGTGCAGCAGATGCCAGTCGGCTTGGCCATGCAGGTAATGCAGTGGCAGCAAGCAGCCACTCCACAAGGTCGCTGGTGCGGCAGGCACCCCCCAGTGCTCTATTATATGAACATGTTTGTCCTGCTACTAGCACTAATTAGAAAACAGAACTCCTTTTTTTCAAATTGTTAAATCAGAATCCAATGGAACTGCTTTGCATTCTTCACGTAATGTCGTTTACCTTCTACGTTTGCGGACTTTGATAGTTCGCCTTGTTCTCTAAAATTTCCGATTTCCGGTAATAAATTCGCCTTTCTGTTTTCCTGCGTTTTGATCAGGCTTTTTGGTTGTTTTTCTGCCGGATGATCTGACCCGGCTGGCCTGCATGCGCCAGGTACACTCTGACCGGGCTGTGTTGAATGTCTAGAGCAGGCCCTGTAGACATGTACATACATATCTGCATGCTCGTCTAACGGTATGACCAGACTCTCAAAAAGGATGAAGAAAGTGTACAAGTGGAGGGATATACAAACCGGAGTCCTCGCCTCCGAGTCCAATAATAAATTTCCTATCAATCACTGTTTAAACTTCACTTCTCAACTCCAAAAACGGTCTCTTTACTGCGATTCAAACCAAAATTAAAATTAACATTACACCAAATTTTCGGAGAATCAATTCCCCTGATTACCCTGATAATGGGCCAGGCCCGAAAATTTGGTGTAATGTAAATTTTAATTTTGGTTTGAATCGCAGTGAAGAGACCGTTTTTGGAGTTGAGAAGTGAAGTTTTAATGTGTAAGTGGCTGGGTTGGAGTTTGCGGGCAATTAGAAAAATCAATCACTGTCATAGGAATTAATTCAGGAGTAGCTAGGAAAACAGCAGAGAGTACAATCATGATGTACTTGGCCAAACTGCCATACCAAAGCACTACAATTGTACATGAACATACTACGTACCAAGTTCGTGGCTCAGACTACACGATGGAATGATGTAAATTTTCCTGTTGCTCCACTCGACTAAGCCCGCCTGGGTAATGACATGAGCACAGATACATACAGAGACACACTACTCAATCTCTGGACAAACACACGTAACGTTAGCTGAACACGCACTATTCAACACGAGGCTTCACAATCCACGTCACTTCACAACAATGCCTATCTATGCGCAAGCATATCTATGCCTATCTATGCGCAAACTCCACTGCAGCCACTTCATAGCACACAGAAAAGAGAGAAACCCCTACACCATCACCGACACAATTGGTCTCTTTGCTGCTCATGATCTAGTTGCAGAATCTCCTCATTCGCCATGTCGTTGTGTTATAAAGGGTATCAAAAAGAGATATTGTCCCATAACACAAACAGTTACAGCAACAAGAGATATTGTCCCATAACACAAACAGTTACAGCAACAAGAGATATTGTCCCATAACACAAACAGTTACAGCAACAAGAGGTATTGTCCTATGTTCCACACAGTTACAGCAACAAGAGATATTGTCCTATGTTCCACACAGTTAAAGCTGTCCTTGAGCGGAGGGCAGTTTCCTATGGTTTGAAGACAGCAACACAGCCTGTAGCCATGGCACCAGTAGTAGGCATAGTAACGGAGAGCAATGGAGAGCGTGTGGGTTTCATGCTCATACGACTAGAACAGTGTGGGGTAGCAGGCAGTTCAACTAGTCTTGTCAGGTACCTCCTGGTTACTACTGTCTGGGGTAGCAGGCAGTTCAACTAGTCTTGTCAGGTACCTCCTGGTTACTACTGTCTGGGGTAGCAGGCAGTTCAACTAGTCTTGTCAGGTACCTCCTGGTTACTACTGTCTGGGGTAGCAGGCAGTTCAACTAGTCTTGTCAGGTACCTCCTGGTTACTACTGTCTGGGGTAGCAGGCAGTTCAACTAGTCTTGTCAGGTACCTCCTGGTTACTACTGTCTGGGGTAGCAGGCAGTTCAACTAGTCTTGTCAGGTACCTCCTGGTTACTACTGTCTGGGGTAGCAGGCAGTTCAACTAGTCTTGTCAGGTACCTGGTTACTACTGTCTGGGGTAGCAGGCAGTTCAACTGGTCTTGTCAGGTACCTCCTGGTTACTACTGTCTGGGGTAGCAGGCAGTTCAACTAGTCTTGTCAGGTACCTGGTTACTACTGTCTGGGGTAGCAGGCAGTTCAACTAGTCTTGTCAGGTACCTCCTGGTTACTACTGTCTGGGGTAGCAGGCAGTTCAACTAGTCTTGTCAGGTACCTGGTTACTACTGTCATGTGTACATGTAGGCTGTTTCAAGACACCCGTGTGACAAAGGACACATCACAACGTGTAATGGTTAATTGGTTCCGGATGATCATAATGCAAGTATAGCCACCTTGAGGAGTGGAATAACTGGTTCACTCACCTTGCATTGGACATGACATACATGTAATGACATAGCCCGTGTCCGCGTTAGATCATGCTACTTGGAGCGGAGGAGAGTTATCAAAGTTATAGGGGGTTCACACGACGCGCAAATGTGTGGTTTTCACTGTACTCGTGTGGCCCAAGCGCGTGCAACATCTTGATAAACTTGCTCGGGGATCCTAGGCCCACGTTTGTCCTTTGCGCGCGTGTAAAAACAGCGAAAGTACTTGAGTATGGTCCTCGAGTTACATGAGTATGCTCGAGTACACAGACACATGCGAGATTTGCACGGGTCTGTTGTCTGTGTGAATCCGATGGGCAGCTTGTCCACTTTACACAAACGTGTTTTCGTTCATTTTCAAGTCGTGTGAATACCCTATTACTGGAACTGAAGAATGGAAGTTCAATGATGTCAAATAATTGTGAAACAGAATTGATTCTCTCTTATTATTACATGCTGATAATCGGGGTGGCCACAATACCCTGCCCGGGAGATTTAAAAATCGAGTGCATGTTTGCCACAATAGTAGAGCAGAGCAGTTTGGGAAAGTGCCTAGTGCCTAGAACTACTTTCTGGGCACACACTACTAGTACTAGTATATCCTCTTGTGTACGGGGATGAACTGTACGAGTATGTATCAACTATCAAACATACACACACGCACACTGAACCAGATATGCACAGAGCACACCAACTTACCCACTCCTTCATCAGGAAGTAATTACAGAGTTTACCAACATTGTCATACTGGTCATTCTGAACTGAAAGCTCACAATAATAATAGCGATTAGGGCCATGTTGAACTGCAGCACAAACACACAGAACAAGATACGATATTACAAGGACCATCAGACATGTTGGCATGCATGCATATTCATGACTTTGTCATCTCTCTCATGTCTCAACACTACATAGCTGATACTGCGCTGTTGGTTTTGTTATCAGTCCAATGTTCTTCTCTTCACGTATGAGAATGCCAGAGACACGATCGTGCTTGGTCTAATGTGGTACATCACATGGTTATTGTACGGACATTGAATGGTTGAAGAAGAGAAACGCTGAGGACACATGCACCAAACTACAAACAGAGTCTCAAATCTGGGACAGCCGTCATTGGGATAAGGGTATGTATCCTGAGATGTTCTGTCTTAGTATGAAAATGTGTGTACTAAGCACAATGCTGCTGCTGCTGTGTGTTAACCTACCTACCTATATGTGTGTGTGTGTGTGTGTGTCCCAAAGTCAGTCTGATCATGGAAGAATGAACATTCAGCTCAAAAGCATGTTGGATGTACGACCTACAAAACCCTCCTCTTCAGCTAAATGTCATATAAACATATAGCAGCCCAGTTGCCATATTGAAATATCAGCTATTGAAAACTCTTGACTGCAAGATGGAACAGCAATGGGCAAACAATCCCAACCAGTTGATTATGTACAGATTCTAGCACTGCCGGAGAGCAATGGCTTACGAATCCAAGACCTGTTTCACAGACTCCCTGTCTTCATTCCAGATGGCATAACTATACCAGTAATCATACAAGAGACTGCTGAGAGGGAGAACACCCTTTGGTAGACAAGGTTTTCACACACTTCAGCTATTACCCATAGAAATAGTGGTTCCTTGTTGAGAGAGTAGGGCACAGTGCTTTTCTCACCGCCATTATAAGTTTCCTGTCTCCTCATGTGCAGTCCCTTCGCTGGCAAAATTATTGCGATAGTCAAAACATGTGAAGAAATGAAACTTCTCCATGGTTTACAGCCGAACGACAAGACTTGCAGAGAAAATACGAACTACTTCTAAGATGTTGTGACGGTACCTTCTTCACCTTCACATGTTACCGTCAAGGTCGCAACAGCTTACCGTAAAAGTCCGTAAATAAGTACCTGCCCGAAAGAAATACCCCCTTCATTCTTTTGGCTCTGTCTGTTGAAGTCAAGTCAAGCCCGATAAACATACTGCCCGAAATAAGTACCGGTACGATGCGCACATGCAGCACGTAGCATGTACATAAACATGAAAATGACTTCTCCACTACACACAAGTCAGGTCCGAAAGTTAGTTCGTGCCCGAAAGTCAGTACCCGCCCGAAAGTTAGTACGGGTGTGGCCACTAAGGGGTCGTCCGTAATTATCGAACTTTTTTCACGAAACGAAATAATTTCGTTATGGGGTGGGAGGGGGTTGACCAATTTCGTTTCAGAAAACATTGATACATGTGCATGCCCATAGGAGCAGTTACACACTTGCGGGTTTTGTTGTATATGCATGTATATGTCAACAATTTTTACGTTTTGAGGGGGAGGGAGGAAGGGGTTGGGTCTAAACTAAAATAATTCGTTTGGTGAAAAAAGTTCGATATTTACGGACGGCCCCTAAATTCGAAAGTAAATACGTACTTATTTACGGACTTTTACGGTAGTTCGCACTGTTGTCCCTTGCACAGGAATGCGACTAAAGTCCATTCATTGGAAACAGTCCCGCTGGCTTTTGAAAGTCCAATTTGGGCCGAATTGAGGATCAAAAACCCACTTTAAATTTCAGAAATCTGGGTTTGGGATCTGCTTCTCCACTCATTTTGCTATGGCATACCAGTCCTAATTTTGTAAAACCTGGTTGAATTTCTATTTCCCTGTCCTTCTGCTTCTCCACTCATTTTGCCATGGCATACCAGTCCTAATTTGTAAAACCTGGCTGAATTCTATTTCCCTGTCCTTGGACTTTTCTGCCCTCAAATGTGGCAAGGAGTGATTTCCCGGGTCACACAACGCAGGATGTGCTGTTGTTTTCACGATATCTACAACTATGCGGTAGACACCAAAATGTTAGGGTGCCAGTTTCCAATGAATGGACTGTAGATGGTTGGTGGTGACAGCATTGTGAATGGCAAATGACCCTCAGGTATCTGTTCTCACAACTCCATGTACAACACTCACTAACACTATTTCCTTGTGCTTGCAAAGTGTTAATTGCGCTGGAAACAAAGCGTAACTGTAACTTGGTATCCCAAGTGATGTTTAGGCTCGGAGAGCACTGTATACGAGCGCTCGTAATGCAGTGCGCTTGGCATGGCAGTGTTCTGGAAGAGTGTGAGTGTGAAACATGGAGTGTGTGTGTGTGGGGGGGGGGGGGGGTCGCACCGTGGCAGGGTCTGATACCTGGTTGAAGATGAGAAGAAGGAGAACTTAAAACGAGATACTTGGAAATGTATACATGTGGAAATAAGTTACCCACGCCATGACCTAAATCCTAATGATTCAGTAATGAATACAAACCAACCCAGCATTAACATTGAAAACAACAATGACTACAACGACAACAAGACTAAGACGAAGACCAACATTGAGCACACCATCTAGACTTGACTCACCACTGGGCGATCGTGTCACAGCTGGTGGGCCAGTTCTGAAAACCGGAACGGGCAAGTAAGCGCGCACTTTAGCAAACGTTGCCTTCGTCTTGATGTTCAAAGACTCGCACCTGATCACACATGATTTAAAACACAGAAAATTGCCAACGACACTGATAAGTGTTCTTTCAACACAAATTGAGTGCTTTCCTTCTCGGGTTAGCCTCGAGAATTCATTCGTGCTGTGGTTGTCATCATTGAAACCTGCATCGGTTTTCCTTCTTTTTCATCACTGTTACTATAGCTCAGTGGTTAGAACATCGCTGGTCTTAAGCGAAGGTCCCTGGTTCGATTCCTGGTGGTGACAGTCAATTTCTTCTTCAGACTTTTCCCGTTTGCATCTTTCCCTCAAACCAGTGAATATTTTATTATTAGTTTTCAATTTCATTTAGTCTTCTTGTTTGACAGCTTCACAGGCAAGTGTAGTTGGGACACATCCATACCAACTGCGCCCACTGCACCGTAAAAAATAATGAATGAAATTGAGTGCATCTGTTATCAAGATACAGAATGCTCATGATCCCCAATATGAACGGAAGTCCTATTGCGCGTGCAATACACAAAAAATAGAGGAGTTATTGTACCAAATGCAATGTTCATTGTCAGGAGATGCAAGCAAGCCATCGAACCAAGCCATTCACTCCTTCAAATCCGTTCTTTGATTATCCTATTCTGCAAGTGGATGTATATTAGGGGAACTTTACAGGAGGCTCAAAAGGAACAAAAGAAATAATTATTGAACACAGTGTAAACACTGGATGCAGTGAATGGGATTTCCGTCTTTGAAAACTTTGTAGTGGGTCTGATCTACTCACCTCCCACCGCTTAGGAGCTGCATCTGCGCCTTGATCCTAGAGGGTGGCGGCGTTCCTACGGATGCCGAAAACTCGACTTCCAGCCGAGTCTCACGCCAACCGTGATTTTTTTAATTTTTTTTAAACACTGTACATGTACATTTAGTTGTGCATTTTTTCGCTTGCTGAAAAGTTTAAAAAAAATGAAATGCAGTCATTTTTCTCTTGCAGGGTGAAGTACCGTGCATTGAAAACACCATTCCCAGGTCTGTGTGTTACTTGCCTATTGGTATAAACCAGGACACGGCTGTCCTTTAGAAGAAAAGGACAGGAAAGAAGTGAGTTCGGGGAAGGAAACTTGGCAAAAATGCTCGAGTGGTTGGTGATGTAAGAGAGATGTGACCATGAAATAGCTTCCAAGTTTTGTCCACGGAGAAGAAACAAAGGCACCTAACTGCCATCGAAGCATTAAACAAAATACGCCAAACCTGCTCAGCAGAAATAGCAGTCCTTTCTCTAAGACACCAAGACACCCGGAGCCGACGGCACATGCACTGCTCCTAGAAGCAGCTAGGCAGCCTCAGTCCACATCACGCTAGGGCCACCAAACCGCTACACCAGCATTTATCCAACATGGATGGTTCTGCCATTCACAGCTCTGCACTCTGACCAAGAAAATAATACGCTAGATCTTCTCAGCTTTTGTTCAGTGACTTTTAGTTGTTGTCAATTGGTGTTGCTTGGTTGCGAGCTGCAGAAGAATTAGAAATCCACTCGTGTTCCACAACCGATATCCTAAAATTGACCGGTTTACGTGTACCAAAGGTAACGATTCTCATGCATTCTCAACGCTCACTAGCAACACTGCATTGTATCGATTTCTGTATAACGGTTTCTATTATAACGACAGATTTCTCCTCGTTAAAGGGGAAGTATACTCTACAATCAAATTTTCACCAGTTGTAGTCTTCGGGGTGCTGAGTCGAATGGTCTTGGTCCGAGGAAGCTGAGATGCTCCCTTCCTCCTTTATTCCCAATCGAACTCGCGCACTTTCACCGAAACTGGGTGACTGTGCCCTACCCAGGGCGCGAAATAACGGTCGGACATCGGACAATTTCCGACCGTTTACGTTTCCGGATGTTTTGTACACACCCGGACAAAGTGTCAGCGCACTTTTTTGCAAAGTACAAAAAAGAAAAGGCACGTCAATCCTTTGCCTCATAGTACTAGTCATTAGTGATGTCGTCTGGCAAGAGTAAGCCAAGCACCGCTGATGCGGGTGCTCCTCTTGGAAAGAAGCCCAGAGGAGTCAAGACGACCACTTGTGACAAGTGGTTGGGTCGCCGAGTATGATAGGGAGCTTTCAACTTCTGTTTGGCTGAGCTATGAGCGCAGTCCCTCAGATCGTAGCGTTGTCGAAAATTTGAAGTGTAAGATGTGTTCCCGTTTTGTTGATAAAATTCGCAGCAGCAAGAATTTTTCTGACTCCTTCGTCGTTGGCTCAAGGAACCTGAAAACGTCAGCCTTCAAAGATAATGCTGCTTCTGAAATGCATCGCCGTGCTATGGCATTGTTTGGCAAGGAGCAGTCAAGCGGAAACCCAATAGAGTATGCGCCAATCGCTCGAGCCTTGTGCAAACTTGACGACGCAGCAGCAGCCAAAGCTTGCAGTGGTAAAACAGTAACTACAACAATTTTAATAATGCTCTTTTCACGTCGTGATAACATTTCGATGGTATTAATTCTACGCTGAACAATTGAGTTACATTGTGTGATTTGATGTGAAAATTTGCATGTCCGGACATGTCCGGCCATTTTTGCAATTGGCAGGACATTGTGTCAGAGCACATTTAAATCCTTAGCGTATGCTCTGCCTACCAGATGGGGATTTGTATGCAAAAAGTCACTAAAAGTGCCGTTTCGTTCTTATAAAACCATGGATGACCGCGATTGGTCCATATGTTGTAAGTCTTTTGGACGCTGAGTCGACTGGTTTTGGTCCAAAAAGGCTGCGAAGGCTCCGTTTGGCCCTTATTCCCAATCGAACACGGGTGAGTAAGCGGTCACGTACTCATGCGTACACCAGTCATCTGGTCACCGCACCTGCAGGCTACAACTTTTACAGCGTTCCTGTCACTTGAGTTGAACCCTTGAACCTTTGAGTTGAACCTTGGTGTGAAAGTTGTAGCCTGCAGACACTCGTTAGATTTAGCATTTCGTTATACTGTATAAGCAGAAATATTCGTCTGGAATTTAATTTCGTCTTTTTCGTCCAAGGAGCTTTTGCACACCGTTCAGTTAGTTTCGATACTAGTATTCACTTCAACAATAAAGGGCGCAGGAGGAGAAAGACGAAAACCAGACACGACAACAGGACAACGGAAAAAGACACGAAGAAACAACAAAGAACAAGCAATAATAAAGCGACGACAAATCGGGACGATCAACCAGGGACTAAAACGTACAGAACACATGACCAAGACCAAGACAACCAGACCACAGACGAATCACACTTGACGCTCATTCCCAGACTAAATTAGCACTGCGCATGTACAGCATTCACTTGATAATCACTCTCACATAGACAGCAGCAGATCCCCACACTCTGACAACGCGTACTCTTGCATGCACCACATACCATAAACGTCACACATCACACCATGCTTACACGTGCACTTAGACCATATATGACATCAGACACTGGACTCTACGAGACAAGAACCAAATACAAAAACATGCGTAAATAATAATCGCAAAAGAGTCGCAATACAATTTCGCCACATTATGATCCATGGATGAAGGTGGAAGCCAAGCGCGCACTGACCGGAATCCTGGGCCGAGACAGTCTCACCGTCTAAGCCTTCGGCAGAAGTGGGTAAATACGCATCACAATGCCAAGGAAGGAGACCTTGTCATGGTGTTGACATCGGACATCCCAAGACGCCAATGGCCGTTGGGACGAATTGCAGCAGTGTACCCAGGAAAGGATGGGCACTCAAGAGTCGTGAACGTCAAGATCAGAGAAAAAGTGTACCGACGATCTATTCAGCATCTTGGAGAGTCTGCGATGCCAGACAACACTGAGGACAAAGATGAAGTGCCTCTCTCATGCTGACCGCATTCGAGAGAGAGAGGGGGAGAATGTTGGAATGTGTAGGAGCATAGGTCAAGGAACTACTTGGTCCGACTTATTAAAATGTGCGCTTCACTTCAAAACTCAAGCATATGTACAAAGGAGCACCTGTACTAAAAAATCACCCAAGAGACGGTAGATAGATAACTACTGTGTCGTTTCTTGGCCTGGCCTTCTAGTTTTCATCGCTGCTGGTGTCTCAGGGCGCATCTGCAAGTGCGTCAACCTACAAAAACGTCGACATTTGTTTCATCTCCTCCAAGCTACACTGCGCTTCTTTGATTTTTTCACTCCATAGGCACGATTTCCACGATCGACTTCGCCTCCTCCTCGTGCAGTGCGACTACCAGAATGGTGGCTGCAGGTGTTTTAGCCTGAAGCTCCCACGACACCTTCAAATGAGGCGAACAAGTAAACCACCCCGCATAAAAATCACTTCTGACCACCGTGTACCGCGCGCGTACTGAGTCTGATCTGTGTCGACATGTCATGCAGTCAGACCATGCGTGCTCTAAGCTGCTCTTCCCTGCCTGTTTCACGAATCCACTGGCCCCGGAGACTGGCAATCTTGTGACGCATCGCGATCGCGGCTCCGCGCGCGGATCCGAGGACTCCGCACCGTATCCGCCGGATAATTCACCCTTTCTGCGCTTCAGTTTTCCAGCCAGGTTGTCGCCTGAAAGTCGACCTCAAGGCCGCTTATTTATTTCGATCAACTTCTCGACGATCTCTTCTGTGATCTTGATTCGTCGACCGCCACATCGTGAACGACTGCAAGAGAGATCAGCAAACTGGACGGAGCGATGCTGGTGCTTTCTGCACGAATTTCTGGATGACGCGTTTGCTGAAATTCTGCCAAGGAAACAGCGATTGCAGCGATTTCAATCCGCCAGGAGGCACTCGAGAACGATCGCCCAGGAGGTTCTGGTACTCCGTGACAATCCCCCATCGCAGCGGGGTGTTGATTTCAGCACCAGGCCTTCTCTGTGTTGCGCGAGAAGCAACAGGAGTCCTCTGACGACAAAATTTGGACGCAAAATGCTCGAGTCGACTAGGATCCTGAGCCGCTGCCTCCTTTGGAGTTGGAGCCATTTCTTCTTCAACATCACAAATTGACAACTGAATGATAGTGTTAGATAGCTGGAAAGTTTATTCCGTCCTGAGATTATTTGAATTTTTTTGGTTGATGTTCGAAGCGAAACGCACATTTTAATAAGTCTGACCAAGTAGTAGTTGTATCACCCGTTGACAGCATGTGAACGTGTGGAGATCACGCATCATGATTTTGCCATTTTAGATGCTCTGTACTTGTCTCCCATGCACACCTTTCATGTAGCACATAGGCTTTGTGTCAGGAAGGAACTGTCACCTATCTTGCATTTATCACACTGGTACATTGCACTTGTCACACGTGCAAACGTTCTAGGCACACTATAATAATTATTATCATGCTGGCGCATTTCTTTGTTCACACATCTGTAAGGTGCGACATTATGCTCTTGCATGGCACTGGCTTTAGCATCTTCTAGGCGCTGGTCCTTGTTCTTAAACCTTCTTCTAGATTCTTGCATATGCCGCTTGTTTGTCTTGTCAGCTTGCTGATAACATTATCGCCTTTACTACTGCTCGCTAGATAAGCACACTATGCCACTCTCCTCAGGCACTTGCACATTGCTTGCACATTGCTTGCACATTGCTTGCACATTGCACATTGCTTGCACATTGCTTGCACATTGCACATTGCACATTGCTTGCACATTGCACATTGGTACTTTGTACGACTTGCACTCAGGACTTGTACTGAGTTCTTGGTTCACAGAGTTGAACAAGTTCAGCAAGATCTGCAATTTGGGTTAGAAAACCTGAGGAAGTTTCTAATACAGTCTTCAAGAATGATTGTGTGAACCGCTGTGACTAGATGTGGATCGAGTCAGCGCATCGGTTGCGGGAAGGTCTGAAATGAGAAGGGATACGGAACACTACATGAAATTGTGTTACAGTTTCTCTTTGCCAGTCGAGATCTTCACAACAGTCCAAACAGTGCTTTCTTGACAGAAGACCTCAAACGCACCGTCAAAGCCATTCCGAAAGAAGGTGGAAAGGGGGGGGGGGGCAATAACTGGACAGTTAGCAGGTCTGCTAGCGGTCCAGTTGTTGTAAGTTCTACGTACCACATTCGGAAACATTTTGCTGACAATTATTTGTAATATGGAAATAGTGGGCACAAGTTATGCGATCGAGTCCACCAACTAAACCAGATTTTGAAAAGTCAGACCCAGTGGAATGTCTCAGTATTCCTTGTCAGTTTTGTGCTAGATTGTGCACGTCTGACTGTTCAAAATCTGGTTTGGTTGGTGGACTCGATCGCATAACTTGTGCCCACAATTTCCATGTTACAAATTTTTCCTTGGCTCACCATCTGAGTTCTTAATGCACACCTGACAATTATTATTAGGTATAGGCACAGAGAGGGTCCAGAATCCACCTCGTTCTAAGCACTGGAGCTATCAATCAACACAAACGACACAAAAAAACCCGTGGCCGTCCACCATTGCGATGGATAGATACGATTCGGCACGACCTGAAGGCAGCGAATCTCTCCGTGGAGAGCGCTCTCCAAGCTGCAGGAGATAGACTAACTTGGCTTGACACTGTTGACAGATGCGTCAACTCTGCTCCTGTCTAACAGGTTCAGGGAAGATCCGAGCTGTGTTTATTATTATAGGCACAGATTTTTGTAGGCACAGATAAATAACAAGATTCAATGGAATTTCACTTTGCACGAGTTAGCAACACATGAGCATACGCTGCCTAGTTTAACTCACATGGACCCTGGGAATGGCTCGCCGCAGTATGATAGTAGCGTGACATTGGCCAAGAACTTGTCCTTGTTAAGCAGTGGACCCGACCAGATTATCCGTCCTTTGTTGTTAGAGATATGTTTGCCATCATAAGGGACCTGGACAATGGAAGCAAGGAAAACAGACACCATGCTAAAATATTACTCAGATACTAAGCCAGTAAATAGAAGTGAAGTAGAAGAAATCACATGGAAACGAGTTCTGAAGCAACTATCCGCGACTGTAGAAAGATCATAAGTAGTCAGAAGGTGTGATAACAGGGCACAAAATTGACAGGCTACTGAGACATTCAACCACCTAAGGCCTAGCTCTAACACATCTCCATTGGTCCTACCATAACCTTGAACCTTCCAAGCTGGAAGGCTGTTGGTTTGTGCACTGCGAGCTCAGCTCGGAGAGAGAGAGAGAGAGAGAGAGAGAGAGAGAGAGAGAGAGAGAGAGAGAGAGAGAGAGAGAGAGAGAGAGAGAGAGAGAGAGAGAAGAGAGAGAGAGAGAGAAAGAGAGAGAGAGAGAGAGAGAGAGAGAAAGAGAGAGAGAGAGAGAGAGAGAGAGAGAGAGAGAGAGAGAGAGAGAGAGAGAGAGCGAGAGAGAGAGAGAGAAAGAGAGAGAAAGAGAGAGAGAGAGAGAGAGAGAGAGAGAGAGAGAGAGAGAGAGAGAGAGAGAGAGAGAGAGAGAGAGAGAGAGAGAGAGAGAGAGAGAGAGAGAGAGAGAAAGACACACACACATACACACACACGTACACATGTACACACATACACATACACACAAACCTGCACACAGTATACTCTGTTTGAACTACATAAGCTGCAACCCGCAACCCGCAACAAAACGTTCTAGAATTGTGTTGTAACCAAAATACTCTCAGTGCAAAACAGGCAGAATTCAACCATGTGGATACATGAGTGCAAACTCTGAGCAACACCGAAGTTCCAATCGGTTTTCTGCTCACCTAGCTGTTATGTGTGAATAGCTCTGTGATCCGCACATTGAGAACCATTCCGGCAATTACCAAACTCCAATTTGTAATGAAGTTGATTATTCCAACTAGGAACACACGCTTCTTGCCGAACTTGACACTTGACTGACTCACGACTGCCATCCGGAGCACACGAGGAGCACGTCGCACCTTCCACTCGGCAAACCTGCAAGAAAGCACCACTCCCTGCTCAATACACGGTGTTTCGGGGAATTCACCCCTCATCAGTTGACAAGCTCAACTGATGAGGGGTGAATTCCCCGAAACACCGTGTATTGAGCAGGGAGTGGTGCTTTCTTGCAGGTTTGCCGAGTGGAAGGTGCGACGTGCTCCTCGTGTGCTCCGGATGGCAGTCGTGAGTCAGTCAAGTGTCAAGTTCGGCAAGAAGCGTGTGTTCCTAGTTGGAACAATCAACTTCATGACTATTACCGCCGAAGTCGCAACTTCTAAGTTCCAATTTGTAAGTACTTTTTTGTACGTGCTCACGCACACGCACGCACACACACACACACACACACACACACACGCACGCACGCACGCACGCACACACACACACTCCTCTACCTCCTCTGTACTCATACAATAGCGGCTTACCTTCTTTTCAGCAGAGTTCATTGTGCTACAATTCAGTACTGACGATATTACACATTTGTCTACAATGTTGCCACGCCGCAGCAATCACGGCTAGCTTTGTCAACAAACCTGAAAGCAAATAGATGGCAGACACACCGTCAGTTCAGTACTGTTATACGTGTACGTGTGTATGTAACACTAGTAAGAGACCTGTATGGATCTTGCTGATAACTGCAGAAAACTGCCGATCAGAGGTGACAAATTTGATTGCCGAGAGCTTCACTTGTATACATGCAAAAGACACAGAATATTGTCATGTTCATTGACCTGGGCGATTTGGATTATTGCACAAATGCATCGGCTCAGGTGATCTGCTGCCTGATTGATGTGAAACTCGCCACAAGTTGTGTTCACAGACATGATGAGACGACCGCTGAGACATACAGGTTTGTGATCCCCCCCCCCCCCCCCCGCCACAAATGACACACAAACCACCAGCCTGCTTTTGCGGGCGTTGTAAACACATGACATGTTTACAACGACACTTAAGCTAAATCTATTGACTTCAAGTATGAAACGAATCGTGCCCTTCCGCTTTGAGTCGATGCCTTCATGGGTTATCAGTAACCATGGCGAGTGATTGCTACAGCGGGTCGAGTCCAGGCGCGACCCATCTGCGGTGCCAGATAGCAGTGCACCGCACCGGACCATACAGTGGTCCGGACTACGCACGCAACGGCCCGGGGTACGCACACATCAGTATTGGGTATTACCGTCCAAGTCAGAGTATGCGTATACTAGGAGCTCCATAGTGACAATTACTGTGTGTTAGCTGAGTGAGTTTCACTCCGGAGCACTTTCCGTTTTCTCCATCAGCTACACTAGAAATATTTGGTATTACACCACGCAAACTGAACACCACTTATGAACACTGTTGATTTTGCACACCAATACTCTCTATACTCGTTACGAAATTTGAAATGGCCCCTGAGGTACAAAACAAAGTCAGCAAAAAGCGATCATCAACTGCATGCTCGTGAGGAGACTGGATTGTTTCTCCGTGATGCCAAAAATGACACCACATAAGCACAAATTCAAAGATCCGCACCATGACATTGATATTCATGTCATTACAGACTGTACATGAGTTTGTCTCGTCAAAGAAATTTGAAGTTCGATTGATTCAGCTTTTTCAAAAACTACTTCAGTACTTTCTGGTCATATGATCGTCGTCACGGTTCTGAAAAGTAGCGCACTTACAGTTTGTACATGCGCACAGAGTCTGTGTGACAGAGACCAGTGCAGTTGTCACGGTTCGCTAGTGAATAATCAAAATTCGATAAAGACTTGAGCACCAGGATGAAAGGACGGAAATGCAAATTCCAACACGGGCAAAAGCCAAGGGACGGACATACAACAAGGATGGGATGAACTATGCTAAAATGCAAGCAAGTAGATCTACGTGGGTAAGCAGAATGAGGAAAGAAGAGCTTATCAGTGCACGTGGTATGAAACAACTGGGTGAACAGGAACACTTTTGTTTTGTTGTTTGTATATTTAGAGCCGAAAAAGAACAAACATGCAAATTTGCCTATTACATGATATCGACTAAAAAGGAGAATAAAGTATACCTTGATTCCTGTGTATGCTCGCCTCCTGCTAGTCGCTCGCCGGCCTGGCGACACTTTTCGTTGTTGCACAGCAGGTAGCACCAGAAGCAAAGACTGTGGCGTAGTTACTACAGCCAGGTCCTTTTAGCGATTCCAGCTCGCATTCAGCTTCAAACATTCCTGTTCTCGGAGCGTAACAGAAGATGATTGTATCGCTCGAGACGATTCCGAAGCAGAAAAGCAGAGGTGCGCCAATACAATGCGTGATCTGTAATCAGGTATACCAGATGGGGAAATGAAAGGATACTAACTCTTGTTTTTTAGTCTGCAGATGGTCACGGCGCCATGCAAGCTACAAAACATGTAGTACAGGTCAGTAAGTTTTTAGGACGTTTCCCACGTGCACAGAACCAAGCCCAAAAATACTGAAATAATACAGACAACGCAGCTAGCTGGCGCGGCGCTTTCTACTACCGGTAGTATTGAAGACTGTATACTGATGAAGACCGACCACATGTTGCTGAGTTTGGGCTGGCAGTGGTAAAGATAAGTACACTGATCTGTACTAGTACTAGTAGTAGTAGTACTACCAAGAGTCCATACTGTCTATTACTGACTAGTATGGACTCTTGGTACTACCGGTAGTCTAAGACTAAAGTGAAGAAAGACGTTCAAAGACTCACGTGAGCTTACAGTTTTAGCCACGTGCTTACACAAATCCGATGTTCACATCTCTGACACCGACCGTGATGAGACCAGACCATGGCATGGCGAACATGATGTAGCCTAGTAATAGTAATCTCTCTCCCCTCTTCTCTTCTCCTCTTTATCAATTTTCACAAACTATTTCGCAACTTTTCCGCGACCGTGAACAGAGAAGCGCCCTGGAGGAGACCATTGAACTTTGAAGTGTCCGTGATACTACGCTTCTACAAGAAGCGCTAAATACATGACTGTATAGTATTAGATGGACCTTGTTTGTTCAAACAAGTCATGTTGTTGTTGACAGCATGTAACAAGGTGGAGGACACCGTGTTCGGAAACAGTACAAGCAGAACAAACTTAGTTACTAGCTACTATTGTATGAGTATGAAGAACACATCCAGGAGCGAACACAGAGTACAAGACTGACGGTACGAGAAGTCCAAAACAACTCCCCTAGAAATAAAAGAGGGTCAGAACCGGGTTCAGATGGCCGCAAGTAACAGTTAGTTCCGCAACCGACAGGGGCCTAGGGGCTCTACCAACCTACGCAAGGTCACTGTTTCCGAACACGGACCGGTGTCCACCTTGTTACATGCTGTCAACCAACAACATGATGTAGCCTTGTACAGTACAGTAGGCTAGGCATCGGTTATAGCGTGGGTGTTTGAAAAACGACTTTCTTATTTACGATATTTCTTACACACGATAAATCAAGTGTGACATATCACGTGCATGTACGCGGAGTCAGGAAGATCATCGTACATGGTAGTGTTACCTGGTTACTGTGCAGGCGGCTGGTGACACTAGTCCCATACTACATGTGGCTATGCAACATGAGTTAGCGTGCACAACAGTTGAACCTGTAGCACTACAACCCAACGCGAGTCAGGTCGGAACTGCATTGGACGGATGTTATTACTACAGGCGATATACATGTACTTTGTACTAATCCGGTATGTTTTGCTACACAAAGTCCATTCTTAGGACCGATATATTCTACTGTACGTTATGATTATGAAAACATGAGAGTTCATTCTTGTAGGCAATATTCTTTTACACGACCACGCCGATACGCACTGTAGTTGTAGATCTACAAGATGTACTACATGTACTACTACCAGTATCATCAAGAGTATACTCTCTGTCTTGGTATCATGTAGCCTTGTAGACGTGAACCCGGTTCTGACCCTCTTTCTATTATTTAAATTCTAAGGGAGTTGTTTTGGACTTCTCGTACGATCGTACCGTCAGTATTGTATTTTTTATTTTTTTATTTTTTTATTGGAAACACAGCCCTACAAGTACAAAGTCAAAGGGACAGATCTTGTTTTGTGTTTGCCTAGCGCCTTCACATGTCCCTTAGACTCTGTACTTGTAGGGCTGTGTGCTACAAGTACAAAGTCAAAGGGACATGTGGAGGCGCTAGGCAAACACAAAACAAGACACAGGGGATGTACGAGGGAGGACGTGCCGATGGACGAGCTGATTTGGCTTTTTTTTAAAGGGGAAGTTAAGGCAAAAATTAAAATTTCACCAGTTGTAGTCTTCGGGGTGCTGAGTCGAATGGTCTTGGTCCGAGAAAGCTGAGACGCTCCCTTCCTACTTGAATCCCAATCGAACTCGCGCACTTCCACCGAAACTGGGTGACTGCGCCCTACTAGATGGGGATTTGTATGCAAAATGTCACTAAAAGCACCATTTCGTTCTTATAAAAGCACGGATGACCGCGATTGGCCCATATGTTGTAGTCTTTTGGACGCTGAGTCGCCTGGTTTTGGTCCGAAAAGGCTGCGATGCAGCGTTCCTCCTTTATTCCCAATCGAACATGGTTGAACAAGCAGTCACGTGCTCCTGCGTACACCAGTCACCTGGCCACGGTGCCTGCAGGGTACAACTTACTAGCCTGTTTGACCTTTTTTGGGTGCAGTCCTGTCACTCGAGTTGAACCTTGGTGTGAAAGTTGTCGCCTGCTGGCGTGGTGACCAGGTGATTTGGGCACCCAGGAGCACGTGACCGCTTGTTCAACCATGTTCGATTGGGAATAAAGGAGGAACGCTGCATCGCAGCCTTTTCGGACCAAAACCAGTCGACTCAGCGTCCAAAAGACTACAACATATGGGCCAATCGCGGTCATCCGTGCTTTTATAAGAACGAAATGGCGCTTTTAGTGACATTTTGCATACAAATCCCCATCTAGTGGGGCGCAGTCACCCAGTTTCGGTGGAAGTGCGCGAGTTCGATTGGGATTCAAGTAGGAAGGGAGCGTCTCAGCTTCCTCGGACCAAGACCATTCGACTCAGCACCCCGAAGACTACAACTGGTGAAATTTTAATTTTTGCCTTAACTTCCCCTTTAAGGGGAAGTTAAGGCAAACATTTTAAAATTTCACCAGTTGTAGTCTTCGGGGTGCTGAGTCGAATGGTCGTGGTCCGAGGAAGCTGAGACGCTCCCTTCCTACTTGAATCCCAATCGAACTCGCGCACTTCCACCGAAACTGGGTGACTGCGCCCTACTACAATGTAGATGGGGATTTGTATGCAAAATGTCACTAAAAGCGCCATTTCGTTCTTATAAAAGCACGAATGACCGCGATTGGCCCATATGTTGTAGTCTTTTGGACGCTGAGTCGACTGGTTTTGGTCCGAAAAGGCTGCGATGCAGCGTTCCCCCTTTATTCCCAATCGAACATGGTTGAAGAAGCGGTCACGTGCTCCTGCGTACGCCAGTCACCTGGTCACCGTGCCTGCAGGGTACAACTTACTAGCCTGTTTGACCTTTTTTGGGTGCAGTCCTGTCACTCGAGTTGAACCTTGGTGTGAAAGTTGTCGCCTGCTGGCGTGGTGACCAGGTGATTTGGGCACCCAGGAGCACGTGACCGCTTGTTCAACCATGTTCGATTGGGAATAAAGGAGGAACGCTGCATCGCAGCCTTTTCGGACCAAAACCAGTCGACTCAGCGTCCAAAAGACTACAACATATGGGCCAATCGCAGTCATCCGTGCTTTTATAAGAACGAAATGGCGCTTTTAGTGACATTTTGCATACAAATCCCTATCTAGTAGGGCGCAGTCACCCAGTTTCGGTGGAAGTGCGCGAGTTCGATTGGGATTCAAGTAGGAAGGGAGCGTCTCAGCTTTCTCGGACCAAGACCATTCGACTCAGCACCCCGGAGACTACAACTGGTGAAATTTTAATTTTTGCCTTAACTTCCCCTTTAACATTTGGCATTTTTTAACAAATCACGGTGTAAAAATTGCTTTTCTTCTAGTTCTGGCTGTTTCTCTGCTCCGGATGGCTGTATCGAAACATGGGTGGTGGCAAATGAGAGCCAGTTTATGGTAGATCAACATTGACCAGAAAATTTGGTGCATATAATTTAATTCTCCCTGCCACGTCGGCATAACTAGTGGTGGGTGCTTTGCCATTTTGTGTAAAATGAGCCTCTGAATGGACGAGGAGGGCAGTGAATAGCTTCCGCAGGGCCTTTGGACGACATCAGGCCGTCTTGCCATCACTAAAGACAGTAATGAAGAACAGTAGGTCACGGAATACACTCTGTGAGAACGAAAACATGGCTGCGATGCTATGCTACCGATCCAATTCCACCGTATAACACAGCCACTAGTTACAAATACAAAAACACGGCTTTCGCAGCATACAATGCAGTTCACTCCTCTGTTGACAGATTAATTTTCATCCACTAGCAATCCTTGAAGTGATATCTATCAACTTCAGAACATTGATGACCGAATATCCCAGTTTGTGATGCCATTTTAGTATGATTTTACAAATTTGTTAAAAAAATGACACACTAATTATTTGAATCCTGAGAATACGATGAAAGTGGGACGTGATTCAAGACACTTTCCAAAGTGGGATCATTCCCATTTTTGGACACAACGGACATGAAGGATAGCACTTCCACTTGCAACAATCCATTTGGACGTAGTTTGTCTAGAATTGACTGCAAAAGCGTCATTTTACAACCATGTTAAAAAAAGCCAAATCACCTCGTACAGGGAGCAGCTCGACCGACCAGGGGTCTCGGCGTTAGCGTTGCAACTTGGCATCGAAAAAGGGGGGGGAGGGGGTTGCATGGTCAAGTAGCAAAAATAATAATTTGGTGCGAGAAAGGGGCGCTAGTACTATAGTATTGCACCAAATAATATAAATACGTGTAATGACTAAACCAGAAGGGAAAAAGAAAAAAGAAAACAATAATCATAACAAGCAAGTACTAGTAGAGAGGTAAATACTAAATGGGTCTCAATATCATCGTCACACGTACTGTGTGGACCACAGCCATCTCTTTCGGATTAGATCCTTACATGCGTTGACCATGAATGTTTGGAGGCGTCTTGAATGAGGTTCGTGAAGCAGGAGGTCCGCAGGCAGGTTGTTCCAGGGTGTGATGGGGAAGGATCGAAGGAGGTAGTCAGGGGCTGTGCGAGGGGGTGTCCACTTCAGCTGGAAGGCATGGTGCGTCTGACGTTTTTGCCGTGTGCACATGCTAGCTACGGCAGGGGGCTTGGTTGGTGGCAGCATGGCCTTTACCTGGGGAGGCCCTGGAATGTAGTGCAGCTTGAACAAGTATGACAAGGCTGCCACCATCCGACGAAGCTGAAGACTTTGGAGGATGGTTCCAGGTCCCAGGAAATGCAGGGCACGTTGCTGAACCTTGTCCAGCTGGGCCATGTTAGTTGCGGCTGCGCTCGACCAGGCCAGTGGGGCATATTCAAGTTGGGGTCG